ATAAATAAATAAATAAATAAATAAATAAATAAATAAATAAATAAATAGGTAGATAGATAGATAAATAAATAAATAAATAGCTAATTATATAGTTAAACATTTGTTTCTTTGAATTATACATCTGTAATTTAAGTTCTAAGTTTTAACTACAGAGATACGTATAAAACTGTAATTAAAAAAAAGTTTAACAACTTTATTAAGGTATAAGTCACATACCATAAAATTTCTTTCTTTCTTTCTTTTAAGAAAGGGTTTCTCTGTAACAGAGCTCTGGCTATCCTGGACTCACTTTGTTGACTGGGCTGGCCTCAGACTCAAAAAGAATCACCTGCCTTTGCCTCTGGAGTGCAGGATTTAAAGGTGTGAGCCACCATGCCTTTAATTTAAAACTTATTTTTTAATGGCTCAGAGGAAGAATCATCATTTTATATAAATCAGAAAGAGAAAGAGCAAAACATGATAAATGATTTTGGAAATTCTGGATAAAGAAAGTGAAGTTTTGTGTTGTTCTTGGCAGCTTTTTTCCAAATTTGAAAATCATTTGTAATTTTTTTTTTTTTTTTTTTGAGATGGGGTCGCTCTTCATAGCCCTAGCTGTCCTGGAACTCACCATGTAGACCAGGATGGCCTTGTAAAAATGAGAGAAGCATGCAGTGTATAATCTCCACCTGCCTTCAGTGTAAATGAAATATAAGTTGACCTATTTGTTTTTCTGTCTTCACTTTATATCCAAAAGTTGATGAACCTTCACATAAATTGTTTTTATGATTTCCTTAATATTTTCAACTATTAAAAGTAAGATGTCATAAGCAAAAAGATATACTTGGGATACTTAAAGGGAAAGTAGTTTATTTTTACACAAGGAAAGAAGTGAGTTGTTTTTAAACTACCAGTCTCTCCTTTGTTGGAACTTTTGTGCAGTCTTTGAATGGTTAGTCATATGCAAAACTATATCTGCTTCCTCAAAGCTTGCACTGAGGAAGGAAGTACTTTGCACCAACTTGGCAAATACTTTATTTGAAGATCATTTGTTTCTTCCTTCCTTTTTCATGGTGTTTCTTCCATACTTTGTTCATGGTGCATTATCTTTTCTTGAGAGACAGAAATGCTTTAGAGAGATGCCCTGATTTTTTTTTTAAATCAATTGAAGCAGTATAGCCAGCTTAATAATGTTTTGATAGTTAAATTTTAATAAGATAATTTTTGAAGTACTTTTCACTTTTGTTATTAACAGGTGATACTGTTTGTCCTTTCACTTAATTGGGACATATAACCTCCTGCTAAATGCAGATAATAACTACTGAGAATTAACCAGCACAGACACTTCATCCAGTGTTACAGAACCTGATCATATTGCATTGCCTATTTTCATTTTGCTTTTATCCTGATTGTACTAGTAAAATACTACTCTAAGTACATACTAAAATACATAGTTACATTAAAGTCCAGCTGAGTTTTTCTAATGCCCTGATTCAGAATGACCCACAAAGGGGTCTGCCAGTGGTCAGGCAGAAATAAGACATTTCTTCTTTAAGGTTTAAGAAGAAAAAAAGTTACAGAAACAGATTTTTAAATTCTGTCATCTCAGCACTCATATATTTAAAGCAGGAGGATTACCATGAGTTCAAGTTTATCTTGAGCTACATAGTAAATACTAGGCCAGCAAGGGCTACATAGCAACATCCTGTTTTATAAAAAGGAGTGGTGGAAGATTTTTATATCAACAGATACAAATTATTCTAAAGTATTTTCTATAAAATATATAACAGGGCTTATGAATTATAAAGTATATAAAATGTTTTCTCATCATTTTATTTATATTCTGTAGGAAAAGTAGCCATCAAAAAAGAAGACTTGTGTAATCATAGTGGTAAAGAAACTTGGTTTTCACTTCAGCCTATTGACTCAAATTCAGAAGTTCAGGTAAGTAGAAGTAATACAAGATATTGTAACCTACAGAAAACAAGTGAAAACCAATTAAATGTCCTAGTTTATACTGTTAGAACTTGTTCTACTTTTTTTTAAATTCCAACACCAAACATTGTAGACCTTAGAAAGCTGGAAGGAAATGGCTTTTCCGTTCTGATATTTAAAGAGGGGGAAGGTATGAACTGTGGAATAACCGACTGGGTAAAGGTGCTTGCTATAAAACCTGATGACCTGTGTTTGAGTCCTAGAACTCCTCTAAAGGTAGGAGAGAAACAGCTCTCACCTCTGACCTCCATACATGTGCATGACACTTATAACCACAAAGTAATAAAGGCTAACAAACATTTAAAGAAAGTAGCTATGAGCAAAGTACAATATATACACATATTGAAATGCCACAAAGATATCCATTGATTTGTGGCATTGATGTGCATTGATAATTATAGGAAAAAATAATGTGTGGATTATATACATATGGTTTAGGGTTTTATTTGTTTGTTTTAGTTTTGAGACAGGGTCTCTCTAGTCTTGGCTGTCCTGTAACACTATGTAGCCTAGGCTGGCCTAGAACTCAAAGAGGTCCACCTGCCTCTGACTTCTAGTGCTGGGATTAATGCTGACATTAAAAGTGTGTGCTACCATACCTTGCCAGAAGTTTGTTAATTTATTTATGAGGTTTTGTTGGAGAGTTTTGTTTAAACAGGGTCTTGCTGTGTGGACCAGACCATCCTAGAATTCTTTATCCTCTTACTCCTGCCCCCTGAGTGGCGGGGTTATAGTCATGTGCTGCCACACTCAGAACGTACTCATTTCTGAGAGGAGAGGATGTGCTTTATTAACTCTAGCCTTAGAGCAGTACACCAGAGTCTGATTTTATTTAAACCATGCCTGAATCTGCAATGCACAACCTTCAGTTTTACCTCCCCCTTCCTGGTCACCCTTTTTTTTTTTTTTTTTTTTTTTTTTTTTGGAAAGGGTATCATTATGCTTGTTAATCTATTCTTTTTCCATTTGCCAAAATAAAAGGCCTTGTGTTGACTCTTTATGTGAACAGAAATGTATTTTTAGTCAAGTGGTTGAAGTTTCTAAAAAGCTTAAGTTTCTATGACTTGGAAATTATTTCTAAGGGAATCTTTTCTTTTGTAACCATATTTATTAAAAACAGTAATGATTGTGAAACCATTTGCAAGGACATAACTGCAAGCAGGATTCTTTGTCTCTTAAGGAGGCTGTAATTTGACTCTAGGACTCAAACAGGAGTTGAAGACAGGGGTAAAATAAGAATACCCACAGATACTTTGCGAATAAAGTGTATCTTCATTTCTTCATAAACTTTTATGCAATCTCTATAATTAAATTCTTTAAAAAGTAAGTATTGTGTGTTAAAATCCCTTCTCAACTACAAAATATAGTTAAGAACTTTTTCTGTTTTATCTTCTCTATCACATCTTAATATTCTTTCTTTCCATCATTTCTTTCCAATGATACTTTTAAGTATCATTCAGATCCCAATAGTATAACATTGTCAGTGACTAAGGTGAGAAGCCATGTGAGGAAGTAGGATTGGCTGAAATTAGAAGTCAGAAAATTTTGGTGTTTTTATATGGTTACTTTAATGACTTTGTGCTTCATTTCTGTAAAATGAAAATAAAATTCACCATACTTGAATCATGTAGATAGAGAAGAATACGTTATATTATTTATTTGTATTTTATGTGCGTTGGTGTTTTGCCTGTATGTTTATCTGTGTGAAGGTTTGGAACTTCAGGAGCTGCAGTTACAGACAGCAGTGACCTATCATGTAGGTCCTGGGAATTGAACCTGGGTCTTCTGAAGGAACAGTCAGTACTTTTAACCGCTGAGTCATGTCTCCAGCCCTGGGAAGAATACTTTAAAACTATTAATTTTGAGCTGGGTTATAGCTCAGTTGGTAGAGTGTCTGGCTGGCATGTGCAAATCCTTGGATGCAGTCCCCAGTACCACAGAAACTGACTGTTGGGATGCATGCTTGTAATCCCAGCTCCTAGGAAGTGAAGGCAGGTTTTAAGGCCAGCCAGGCTGCATAAGCCCTTGTCTTTAAAACAAACAGACAAACAAAAACCTGTTAGTTTCTGTACAAATGTAAATTCATTATCACCACCCAGTCTGGTGGTGGCCTAGTTAAGGTTTCGGTTGCTGGAATGAAACACCATGACCAAAAGCAAGTTGAAGAGAAAAGGGTTTATTTGGCTTACTTAAACTTCCACTTCCGAGAAAATCAGAACAGGAACTCAAACAGGACAGGAACCTGGAGGCAGGAGCTGATGCAGAGGCCATGGAGGAATGCTGCTTACTGGCTTGCTGCCCATGGCTTGCTCAGCCTGCTTTTCTTATAGACCCAGGACCACCAACCCAGGGTTGGCACCATACACCATGGGCTGGGCCCTTCCCCATCAATCACTAATTAGAAAAATGCCCTACACCTGAATGTTATGGAGGATGTTAATTGAGGTTTCCTTTTTTCAGATTACTCCAGCATGTGTTAAGTGTGCATATAGCCCACACAGGTGGCTTTCTAATATAGCCTTAACAAATTACCCATTTGCTTTTTCATTTTTGAGACATAATTTAATATATTTTTCATATACAACCCATCTAAGAAAGTGGCATGGTGTAAACCTTTTTGGAGATGGTGCTCACTGTGTACCTGAGGTTGGCTTCTGCCTTACAAAGGTCCCTAGCACTGGGGCTATAGGCACACACTGCACCCATCTAATGTTTCTAATAATTTGAACAAAAGGGAAGATGAGAAAAGGCTTTGAAATTTTGATCTGAAATGGAATTAGAAGATTCATTAAAACTTATTTATTGAGTGTATTCTTAATGACCATAAATTTTCTAGAGGATTTAAGGATTTGGGTCTGAAATTGTAGAACAGTATATGTTCTTTATGTAATTTTTGTAGAAGCTTTTATTCGACAGTGTATATATAAAATTGTCACCTCTGCACCATCAAAATGCTTGAAGTAGCATTTATGTTTTATATATAGTATTGGCATTTTAAGTTTTAGAACTGTTTGCTTTCATGACTATTAGTCATTAACCTTTCCAGAACTTTTATCTTAAATGGTAATTAGTAAGATTTGCCCAGTATTTAAAATAGATTTTAAAAGAAGAATGCTCTAGGAGGTGGGAGGGAGGGATAATACTTTTCAGAAAAATGTGCTATCATTGGGATTATTGTTTAGCCACAAAGCAGTGTGAGAATAACACATTAACCTTGTGAGTATAAAAGATACATAAACATTCCACAATTAATACAGAGCCTAGTCTTTTAATGTTTGTTTTATAACATTTTGTAAAATCATGAAAACATAAAAATAGATGACAATATAGAAAGCAAAGAGGTTGAATTTAGCAGGGACTCAACCTAATAATTACTTATAGTAATTATAAAAGTATGTGCCAAGTACAGTAGTGAGTACTTAATACACATTATCTCATTTAAGGTCCATAGTAGCACTATGAGGTAGGTGATATTAACCTCATTTTACAGATTATTTTAATAGGATTACAAGCTGCAGTGACTTCTCCAGTCAAAGAAACTGATTCCACTGGAGATCTGTCTGACTCCTAATCACAGTCCTGTACTGTCTTTCAGTGCTGTGTGCTCTTAGTTATAAAAATAATTCAATAGATTAGGAGAATCACTTAGGTTGCATCAGAAGCCTGCCCAAATTAGTGGGCAAATGGCGCATTAGAAAGTTCCTAGGGAGCTTTTTGAAGTCAACAGAAACTTCCCTGGGAATGTGAGCTCAGTAGTTACCAGGCATTTGCACAGATGCTGAATGCTAATTGGCAGTTAGGTTCTGGCAATACCAGATATATAAAAATTCTTATCAATTAAAAATGATCTTTCAAGTGACTTTAAATTATCATAAGATGGTTGACTGCCACAATAAAAAGTTAGCTTTTTATTTTTTAAATTTATTTTTTATTAATTATAGTTTATTAATTTTGCTTTCCAACTGTAGCCCCCTTCCTCGTCCCCACCCAATATCTCCCTCCTTCCCTCTTCTCCATCCATGCCCTCTCCCGGTCTGCTGATAGGGGAGGTCCTCCTTCCCTTCCATCTGATCCTAATCTATCAGGTCTCATCAGGAGTGGCTGCATTGTCTTCCTCTGTGGCCTGATAAGGCTGCTCCCCCCTTAGTTGGAGGTGATCAAAGAGCCAGCCACTGAGTTCATGTCAGAGACAGTCCCTGTTCCCCTTACTAGAGAATGGATTTGGGAGACTGAGCTGCCATGAGCTATATCTATGCAGGGGTTCTAGGTTATTTCCATGAATGGTCCTTGGTTAGAGTATCATTCTCAGAAAAGACCCTTGGGACCAGATTGGTTTTTTTCCTCTCCTTGTGGAGCTCCTGTCCCCTCCAAGTCTTTTCTCTCTCCCTCTTCTTTCATAAGATTCCCTGCACTCCGCCCAAAATTTGGCTATGAGTCTCACCCTCTGCTTTGATATCCTGCAAGGTAGAGACTTTCAGAGTCCCTCTGTGGTAGGCTCCTGTCCTGTTCCCTGTTTTCTCCCTCTTCCGATGTCCATCCTGTTTGTCTTTCTGAATGAGGATTGATCATCTTACCCTGGGTCCTCCTCCTTGATTAGCTTCTTTAGGTATACAGATTTTAGTATGATTATTCTATATTATATGTCTAATATCCACTTATAAGTGAGTATATACCATGTGTGTCTTTCTGCTTTTGAGATACCACACTCAGGATGATCTTTTCTAGTTCCTACCATTTGCCTGCAAATTTCATGATTTCCTTGTTTTTAATTGCTGAGTAGTATTCCATTGTGTAAATGAAACACCATTTCTGTATCCATTCCTTAACTGAGGGACATCTGGGTTGTTTCCAGCTTCTGGTTATTACAAATAAAGCTACTATGAACATGGTTGAGCAAATCTCCTTGTTGTATAGTTGAGCATCTTTTGGATGTATGCCTAGGAGTGGTATAGCTGGATCTTAAGGTAGCAGGATTCCTAATTGTCTGAGGAAGCACCAGATTGATTTCCAAAGTGGTTGTACAAATTTACATTTCCACCAGCAATGAGTAGGGTTCCCCTTTATCCACATCCTCTCCAGCATGTGTTGTCACTTGAGTTTTTGATCTTAGCCATTCTGATGGGTGTAAGGTGAAACCTCAGTATTGTTTTGATTTCCCTGATGGCTAAGGATGTTGAGCATTTCTCTAAGTGTTTCTCTGCCATTTGATATTCCTCTGTTGAGAATTCTCTGTTTAGCTCTGTACCCCATTTTTTAATTGGATTACTTGATTTTTTTGCTGTTTAACTTCTTGAGTTCTTTATATATTCTGGATATTAGCCCTCTGTCAGATATAGGGTTGGTAAAGATCCTTTCCCAGTCTGTAGGCTGTTGTTTTGTTCTGACGACAGTGTCCTTTGCTTTACAGAAGATTTTTCAGTTTCATGAGGTTCCATTTATTGACTGTCAGTCTTAGAGCCTGTGCTATTGGTGTTCTGTTCAGGAAGTTGAATCCTGTACCAATGAGTTCAAGGCTCTTCCTCACATTTTCTTCTAACAGGTTTAGTGTGTCTGGTTTATGTTGAGGTCTTTGATCCACTTGGACTTTAGTTTTGTGCAGGGTGATAAGTATGGATCTATTTTTGCATTTTTCTACTTGTAGGTATCCAGTTAGACCAGCACCATTTGTTGAAGATGCTGTCTTTTTTCCATTTAATGGTTTGGCATCTTTATCAAAAATCAGGTGTCCATAAGTGTGTGGGTTTATTTCTGGGTCTTCTGTTTGATTCCTTTGATCCAACAGCTGGTTTCTATCCTAGTACCATGCAGTTTTTACTACTGTTGCTCTAAAGTACAGCTTGAGCTGAGGGATGCAGATACCTCTAGAAGTTTGTTTATTGTAGAGGATTGTTTTAGCAATTCTGGGTTTCTTGTTATTCCATATGAAATTTTTATTTGGGACTTTGAGGAATGAATGCTTGCTGTATATATTGTCATCCTTAGTAGGAGCCCCCAGCTCTGCAGCAGTACATCTTATAAGGAGCTGGGAGCTAAAATCCACTAATTAGTTTCTTTCTCTTCTTGCTTATGGTTTTGTACCTTCCATTTTGCAGAGTGAATGGTGAGTGTTTTCTTTTATATGCCCATTTCCTCAGTAGCTGGTGAGGATTAAACTCAACCCATATGTGTGTGTGGCAGACACTTTACCAGCTGAGCTATCTCCTGTCACATTTAAAGATTCTTAAAGATGAGATTTCACCCATTCTTTTTGTATGTTTGGTGAGAGTACGTATCTCTTCCTTTGTTTCTCGCTGTGAATTTACTCTCTTAATGACTCTTTAAAAGTCCATATTCATCTTTGAGTCTCGGTGTTCATATAAGTTCCTAATCCTCAAAGATCTGCCTCAATTCACAGAAGTTGGCTAAATTTGAGTCACTGTCCACGGGAGTCTAATTTGATGTGGTTGGAGGAAACACTACAGGCGAGTACAGGCTAGAGTTTGGGTTAGGCCTGTTTGTCTAGGGGGCTGAGTGGATGAAACGATCAGTATCTTCATCTCAGGGATAGAGGTGTTTACTTCTCTGTTGTTACCACTAATTAGGATTTGTACCTCAAATAATTACTGGTAGTTGTTGCCAGAGAGTCATTTATGAATGAGGATCTCAGTAAAGGATAAGTAGTTTAGTCCTCAAATGAGAAAATTCCTGACTAGTAACTTGCTATTTATACCAAGACAGTTGAAATATTATTTTAGCTTTTTACGTTGTCACTTTCTTTTTGCAGTTACTGTTTTCTTTTCGGAAGTTCATGGTAGAAATATTTAATGAGTGCATTTTCTGCCTTTTAAGACAATTTTATTTTAAAAACTTATTTTATGTGTATGGATGTTTTGCCTGCATGTATGTGTAGACAGTGTGTGTGCCTAGTGCCTGCAGAATCCCCGGGAACTGGAGTTGGAGATGACTGTGAAACCCCATGTGGGTGCGGGAATGGACCCAGGTCCTCTGCAAAAAGTCAGTGCTCTTACTTGCTGAGCCATGATTTCAGTTCCTTGACAGCTCTTTAAAAAATATTTATTGTATGTGTATGTGTCTGTGCCTGAGTATATTAGGTTAAACATATTGTGCATAGCTATCAGAAGTCAGAAAAGGGCATCAGATCCTCTGGGTCAGAGTTGCAAGTGGTTGTGAGCCCACCATATGGGTTCTGGGAGTCAAACCTGGGTCTTCTGCAAGAGCAGTGAGTGCTCTTAACTGCTAAGTCGTTGCTTTAGATACTTTTCTATCATTTTAATAAAATACAAATCTTTTTTCTTGATTCTGTTTTTTGCCACTTTTTTCTCTGGTTTGACCCATTTTCTTTTTAAACCATTGTAATGTGCCTTTAGACTCCACAGTGAGGCTGAGGGAGGGCACAAATGGCTCTTCCTACTTAGGACATCGTGCCACTAAGCAATAGACACTTGCAGTCCCACCTTTCCTTGACTTTTTGTCAGGTCTTGTGATTCTGGCTGACTGCTTCTTTCATTTTGAAGCATTTTCTTTTTTAGGTTCTAGTCCTAATTATGATCCTGGTTGTCATCCACCTACATTTGGTGTCCTTTTTCCTGTATTTTCCATACCTGTAATGTTAGTATGCTATCCTCTTATCTGTAAGATGCTGGAACTCAGCAGCTTTTAAGCATTCTTCCATTCTTTCTTTCCTAGGTACTGTGATAAAAAGAACGTACTTTACATAAGGCTGTTAATTATGGGTGGTGTCTCACACAACTTGTACAGACAGCAAACCCAGATGTTATGTTAGTTATGTCCTTTTGATGCAGTTACTTAGTAAATCTTACCCAACAGGATAATCTTGACCATCTGGGTCATACCATAAGTTATTGATTGGTACATACTTCTGTTAATGGCCTTAGTTTTATTGTTTTAAGCAACCATGTAAGAAGAAATATATACTAGTTTCTTAAACACATGCTCAACTAATGTATCATTAATATAAAAGTATAATTCATTATTATAGGTTGATTTTAAAACTTTTTTTCATTTATAAATTTGTATGTGGGAAATAATAGAAATGAGCCATTCCATCTTTCTTAGTTTAATTTTTAAAACTTGTTTATTGATTCTTTGTGAGTTTCACTTCATGCACATTATGGATCTTTTTGGGACTCCTCATGGTTATACTGTTGTTGCCCAGTGTCCTAGAGATCCTGCAGCTTTGGGATTGCACCCACGCCACCTAACAGCAGGTGACTGGCAGGATCAGCTCTCCCACACTTACACCCTCAGGGCTGGCTCATCCCCACCTCCATCCCCACCACCAGGGCCAGCTCTGCTGTGCTGCCTGGGCAAGGCAAAGGCCCATTCTTCTAAGTGCTGCCACTGGTGAGAGAAGGGAGCTGGCTCTCCAGGTCTCTGCGTCCAGTGAAGGGCAGGGCCAGTTGTGCACAGACCTTGGTCATCACGAGGCCCCCAGTGACTGCCCTGACCAGGAACATAACTATGTTCTAGTGGTAATATGCACCATGGACATCGACACCAACCCCAGCTGCTGCATAGCCATGAACTCAGACATGGCCCGCCCTCAGCAGCAGTGCAGGCTGGAACCTCACCATGGACCCAGGAGCAGGGCTGGCCACTAACAACAGGCTGCTCCTCTCCACCCTAGAGTCTCCAGTTCCATTTCTCTTCATATGCTCAAGCTGCTGCACTTCTCTTTCTTTCCTATCTAACCATGACATACTCGCACATGGTGGTGGCTCCTGCTGCAGGCTGGCTATGCAGCTTGCAGGCCTCTGAATAATGTCATCCATTCGTGCTGTGTGTCATGGTGGCAAGTGGGTGTCTATGGCCCACCTGTGCCCTACGTTGTAGGACAGGTCTGTGGGTGGCACGGCAGCCTGCCTCCTCCTGCACTGCCTGGATTTGATTTGATTTGATTTGATTTGATTTGATTTGATTTTTATGAGTCCTAGGTATAAGACAGCTGTGACCACCATGCCAGGCATCAAGCTAGGATGAACAATGGACTACCGTCTGCTCTGCCCCTGACTGATATAATAATACTACCACCAACAAGGTGTCTCTTTGCCCATTGCCAGGGCTCTTAATTTTATTTTTTTGAAACAAGGTCTCACTATATAGTCCTGACTGGCCTGGAACTCACAGTGTAGACCAGGCTGGCCTCAAACTAAGAGACCTGCATGCTTCTGCTTCCTGAGTGCTGGGATTAATGATGTGTGCCACTGTGCCCTGCTCTTGATCTCAAATCATTGTTTAAGGAGAAAAAAATCTTTTAATAAAAAAATGCCATTGGTATAAGAGATGTTATAAAGTAAAACTTTGTGTTTTACCTGACTGGCAGTTGTATCTGAAAATACTTAGAGGCAATTTCTCTGAATAAAGCTGTGTCAACTGCTGTAATGATGCATGCCTGTAATTCCAGCTGCTCCAGAGGCTGAGGCAGGAAGATTATCTATCTGACGACTTCAGGAACAGCTTAGGCAGTGTAGCAGACTTGATCGAAAAAACAAGCAGTAAAAATCTATTAGGAGCCATAAGGTTTTTTTGTTTGGTTGGTTTTTTGGTTTTTTTTTTTTGTTTTTTGTTTTTTTTTTTTTTTTTGGTTTGTTTGTTTTTTTACCATTTCCTTATAAGAAGTTTTTAAAAAATCAATTGAACTATACCAGGTTCTTGTGAATTTGTTTTTAAGTTTTATGTGTTTGTATGAGTTCCTCTCTGTGTGTTTGTACACCATCTACATATTTGGTGCTCTTAGAATCCAGACTCCAGGCATCAGGTGTCCCAGAGCTGGAGTTGCAAACAGTTGTGAGCTGCCATGTGCATTCTGGGAGTCAAACCAGGGACCTCTGCAGGAGCAACCAGTGTTTTGTTTGTTTGTTTTCCAGTTTGTTTACTTTACATCCTAAAGGTGCCCCCTCCCTCTTGCAGCAAGTGTTCTTAACCACAGAACAGTCTCCCTAGCCCTGAAACATACTGAGTTGTTTTATGAGGAAATTATTAATATTTGAGTGTTTTAGACTGTCTAGATCGTGAGAGCATTTTATCTTACATGCATTCCAGTTTGCCTGAGTACCTCTCTTTTTCCAAACTGCATAAATTTCGATGCATTTCTTACTTGATACCAGTATATATTCTACACACACATAAACACACACACATTTATATATATCCTGGTTTTAGTAGCTGCTTTAAGGTTTCTTTTTAATCTCTTCAACTGTTTTACTAGTACATTGGAATGTTTTTCCTTTACTTTATTTAACTTATGTGGTTTTTGGAGTTTTTGAATCTGTGACTTAATGTCCTTCATCAGTTTTAGAACAGTTAAAACAATTATCTCTTTATCCCCCTCCCCCGACCTTCCTGTACTGGGATTCCAGACCTACTAGTACCAGACCTTTTTGCTGTGTGTCCCATGTCTCTTATGCTTGTCCCTTCTCTGTGCTTCATTGTGAGCATTTTCTTTTGATTAGCCTCTCTTACTCCTATTTAGCTGCAGCTGATCTAATGTTATATACATCTTATTTCAATTTCAGTTACTTAATACTCAGCTCTAAATTTTTTATTTTATTCATTTCATAGTTCCCAGTTATTTGCTGGATTTTTCACTTTAGTTTCTGTTAGAAAAACAGAAACAAAGACAAAATGGATGGTACATATTGTGAGTTTGAGATGGGCATGGACTAAATAGTGAGACCCAGTATTAAAACAATAACAACAAAATCTGTTTTAAGCTTACACTTGTAATCTGCTGTTTTTGTCACATGTGCATGCACACACACCATGTATTTTATTTTATTCTTGTCATCTGTTTAATAATTTTTGATAGAATACTACTGGGCACTGAGATGTGAAACACACTGGAAATAATTTTGGACCCTGGACGGTTTTCTTGTAAGAGAAAAATTACAAAGCTGCACCTTTATTTCTGACCAAAACTGGGTCAAATGGCCTTATAGTCACTATCCCTGACCAGAAGGAAGGCTGGGACCACCAGATCCTGCTATGCTCACAACTACCATTTCTACAAGAAAAAGATTTATTTTTCCTATAACCCATATATGTACAATAACTAAAGATGAAAGAAATTTTGTATGAAAATTATCAAGGAAGACTAATTTTTTTAAAAAAAATGATCATAAATTTGCCTTTTCTGAAATTTTGGAGACAGTGAGTAGCTATATAGTGTAGGTGGATCTTGAACTGGACCCTTCTACTTCAGCCTTCTGGATGACAAAATTACAGTGTATGCTACTACGTTCCGTACAGATTTGGCTTTTTAACACTGAAAAGAAACCTTGTGTAATTTAAAATTCATGTTCACTTTCTTTACTAAAGGCAAAACAGTAGTAGAAACATTGAAAACAGTAGAAAAGTTCCAAGTCTAGGTTGGTACCCTGTCAACCAAAGGTGAATACTCAGTAGTTAGGTGGATATTGGTGTATTAAATTTGCACATATACTTATGTGTTCAAGTTAACATTATACACCATATTTTTGTAACTTTTTTTTAACCAACTATCATCTTTTTATGAAAGTATGACAGTGAGAGCTGGCAAGATGCTTCAGTGGGTAAAACATTTTGTGACATAAATCTGACGACTTGAGTTTTATCTCCAGAGCCTACCTGTATAGAGGTGAGAAGAGACAACTGAGTGCACAGCTGTTTTCTGACCTCCGCACAGCACCATGCTGCCTGTGGCCTCACACACAGTAATAATGAATAAGTAATTTCAGTAGGCAACTCAGTAGTTTTATTATTTATAAATTATAACTTCCTTAATTTAAACTAACATTTCTGTTAATTTTACTGTTCCTCCCTGATAATGTGTGTCTGCTTGTTCTGTTGTCAGTATTTTCTTAACCCAGTTAATGTCAGTTATGGTATTAACTAATACCAAAGGAATGTTCTCTCGACCATGCAGTAAGAGTAATTAACATACTAAGTTGCCTTTAAGTCAATGAAAAATCATTCCTGGTTTACTTTTATTAAATATCTTTTATCTCTAGGATTATATACTGTGATTTTAATTATGAATACTTTTTTTTCTTTTATTGGTTTTTATTATTTTAGAAATAGAGTAGATCCTACACATTGCCTGAGAGACATTTGGAAGTACTATAAAATGTATGTGTTTTAAAATAGTGAAACTGCTTTGATTTGCTTATATTTGCTCAGTTGTGTAAACTGCCTCTCTGGCTAAGTAACATACACATGCCATGCTGGTGTGACAGAAAATGTGACAAAATGTTCCAGTTGAGTAATACTAGAAATTATACATAGTACGGACCGTCAAGTCCAGTCTTGAAAAGTAGAGGTGTGGATGCTAAATGTAGGAATAGTGAAAGACTGCAGCTTATATGATGTGTATGATTTTTATCAGTATTTGTGCCTAGATTTTTCCTGCACTATTTCTCAGTTAAGTTCCAACTCTACGTAACTGCTAATTTTACTCATTGATGCCTTCTTTTGCCAAATAGCTTAACTCTCTCAGGCAGACCTTTGTGTTGTGACTCAGCTGTCATTGCTCATCACATAGTAGTCATCTAACCTGAATTTTGTAGCTAATGTCCTGAGATTCATTCTCGTAAGCTTCACCATAAAATAGTGACGCTGATTCAGATTAGAATTTTTGAATGAATGTTTTAAAAGGCTCTGAAGAGAAGCATAGCTAGAGAGTAAATATCCCTACCTCTGAGAAGATCACTCAGTTCACCTGTCCCTAGACATTAGCGCCACCCCCACCCCAGGTCTCCATTGGCCCTGTGGGAATTTGTCTTGTCAGTGGGTGGAGGTAATGCAGCACTACTTGTTAACCAGCTTAGAACTGCTCATTCATTGCCTGAAAAGGGAAGAGGTAACCAAGCTCTAGGTTACATTGTTCCTAAGCTCTTTTCTTAAGAAAGCTGACCACTCGGATTCCTTAAAACTCAACTAAACTGTGCTTTAATCCCATCTCTTAACAGTTGTGTGTCAGAGAGAACTCTTTTATTTCAATCCTTCTATCAATACTTTTGGAATTTATTGTCACTCTTTCATTGTATTCCTGGCTAGGTTGTGAACTTCTGGTAGGTGGTGACTGTGTCTTACGTACCTGTTTGTTCCCATCTCTTTTCATATTGTTTTTTTACTGTCTTTAACTTACTTTTATAGCTTTAGAAACTAATTCCTTTTTAAGTTTTCCAAAAATATAAGTGCCATATCTAAGGAAAAACTGTGGTCATTGAGGGACATAAACATTTATTAAACAGGACATAAAGTTTAAAAATTTTTGCATGTCATATTTAATACAAATATTAGACTCCTTTCTTTTAGACTTTGGTATGTATATTGTTGGTTAGTAGCCATTTAACAACTAAGTATGCAGAGCCATGTGATAGTGGTTAGTGAATAATTAAATATGTATGCTCTTTGGACGAAAGTACATTGTAATATTTTGTTACCAAAATAAAATAGACTATTGAGTTTGCTTTCTTTTTGTCATAGGGGAAAGTTCACCTTGAATTAAAACTGAATGAATTGATAACAGAGAATGGAACTGTGTGCCAGCAGCTTGTTGTACAGTAAGCATAATCTTTTTTTATTTTTTGCCAAAATCACCTAGAAATTATTCTCTATATTCTTAGACAAATTTCTTTTTTTAAATAAGTGCAGCTCTTATATATCATTTCTTTACTAAGCTGATAACCCAGTTTATTTTTTCATCTGTCCACTCAGGTTATGGCAAGTCATTAATTATTCAAGTAATTTTTATTGACTGTGGGTTAATGACATATTGATGTAAACATTAAGGTATGACAGGGTTGTAAGAGCCTCTGACTTTCTAGCAGTGGAGACTTGGAAAGGGTTTCCAGAGGATGTCTTTTTGGAGCACTCAGTCACTATACAGAGCTTTTAGGGACCCTGGGTTTGGGGGTGGGGGTCCACATGATACTCAAATTAAGTAGACACCCTGAGATTACCAGCACTTTTTCTTCAGGTTTTGTATTCTTTATCATTCAAATTCTTAATAGTCTGTGCCATGAAATCCCTGTTCCAGCCTATTATTCAAAAGCTGCTAAGGATCCTTCATTCTGAACTGTCCATGTCTCTGTTTCAGTTGATATCTGAGTACCCTCTGGGGTTACAGAGGTCCATACCTACACACCTCAGGGCAAGGAGATAGAGAAGTTGTTACTTTCCTCTTGCTGCTCCAGACTGTAATTCACTCTCATAATGATGAAAACCCTAGTTCTTTGAAGGATTGCCTTTCTGTACTGTACAGTACTAACACTACATATGATCTGAGGGGTTCAAGTTTTTCTGCTTTTATCAGCTATCTTAATGATGAATAAATAATGAAAAGAGACCAAGGAATTGCTATGTGTAGATGAATTGCTGAAACAGTATGCTTATTAAGGCATTTTTCTAAGTTTTATAGTACTGATAACTTTAATAGATAAAATAAAGTAATACAGTTTTGTTGTTATTTGCTTATAGTTTCTATCTTACTAGTTTTCAACTTCAGTATACTTACTAAAAATAGTCCAGATCAAGATGCTGTGGTGCATACCTTTATTCCCAGCACTCAGGAAGCAGAGGAGGTGGGATCTCTGTGAGTTTGAGGCAACCAGGCTACATAGAGAGTTCTAGGACAGCTAGGGCTCCACAGAGAGACCCTGTCTCAACAAAACAAGAAAAAGACGTATGAGATTTGTGTGCAGACTTTACCCCCAGACTGAGTGCCTATAGTGGAATTCTTTGGATGAGCAACTGCTGCTCCTCCCTTCCCTGCTTGAGTTTGGCTAATCAGAGTCATTTGAGGGACTGTTAGTTGGCTTGTTTTATCTACATACTAGCTTCGGTTTCTCACTTTACTCCTTGTTGGTTTAGGGTTTGGGTTTGTTGTTTTTATGTATACTTTGTGTTTGTGTGGGTGTATGCCATACGTGTGTAAATGTGTGCAGAGGCCAAAGGTGTTATATCCTTGAACTTGGAGTCGCAGGCTGTTGAGCCACCTGATATGGGCACTTGGAACCTAACTGGGGTCCTCTGCTGAGCATCTCTCTGGCTCCCTGGGAGCATATTTCCGTGTTTTTAAAAGAAGAAATTATGTCAAGGCATTACTCATCGATGGGGTTCGAGTCCCTCTTCCTCACACCCAGTTCTAGGCAGCCACAGCCTGATTTCTGTGTGTGTTGTTTTTTGCTTTTTCCAAAATGCCATTCTGATAGACTCATAATAATACATGGTCTTTTATGCCTGGCTTCATTTACTTAGTATACTCCTTTTGATATTCACTCACATTGTTGCCAATAGTAGTAGTGAATCTTCTTTCCAGGGTTCTGTTTCCTCGTGTTAGGCACACACAGTTAAGTTCTACCACGGAGCCAAAGCCCTGCCCATTATTTTTTGCCATCACTTGACAGGTAACTCAGCCAATTCACATGCTGATAAAATAAGCCCAACTTAACACTCTTAAGTTTGAGGACTTGATTTCAACTTCGGACATTTATTTTAATTTTTTAAACTTGAGAGTATAGATTTACAAAGGTAGCATAAGAGGTACATGTCACAGTAATGAGAGAGCAAAGACAGTGAAGAGGTACACATCACAGTAATGAGATAGCAAAGACAGTGAAGACGTACATGTCATAGAATGAGACATCCAGTACCTCTTGGTACTCTGTGCTGAAAAGGACACTAAGATAACTAATGCTAGTCTTGTCAGGAGTAAATATCAGACTAACTCAGATTAAGTAATATGAAAACAAGTATCCTCCTGTGACAGAGACTAAGAGGACATGGCAAGCGAATGCAGTATAGGAACCCATACTGCAACCTGGATCTTGGCAAACTTTGAGTGTCATCGGTAGATTAATTAACATTAGAAACATTAAATTAATGCTAGTTTCTTGATTTCATTAGCTTCATATTGGTTACACAGAACGTTAACAGTTGATATTGGGCTTACAGAAACTTATTTTTGCAGCTATTTTAAAATCTGCAATTACATTAAAACAAATTTTTAAATTGTGCTTTGTATAGTCAACCTGTTAGTTTGAGTTTTAGTCTCATATCCACTGCACTGTCATACAACATTGCAACTTTTATACATCTAAACTTTTACACATTTTTTTCATATTTGTTCAGTTCATCTCCACAGTCTTAGCAGAGGTTTGAGTTTGCCTGTGTTTTTATGTCAGATCTTACATTTTTCCATCTGTAGACCTGTTTTTTAAGGTTTTCTCTGTCACTATGTGCTATGTGAAGTAAAAATTTTAAATGTCCTTGTCTGTAATTATATTTTCTGTCATTTCTGCCTCTGTTTTGATGGGTTTTCTTTTTACAATAGGCCATATTTATTGTTTACTTTGGACATTGAAGTCACTACATACTTTGTGTAGCTGGATTTAGCTACTTTATGGGTTCTTCTTTCTTCCACCCTTCTTATTCCTTTTCTCCCACCTTTTCAACTCCCTAACACTAGCTATAAGAGGAAAAAAGGGATAGAGAGGAAAGAAAAGAGATCCCTGAATATAGTCAAGAGTCAGAAAGCAGGTGATGTTATCATTTAGACTACTTGCTGATTAGTGGGGCACATTTCATCTTTGTTGCCAGGATACTTAATTTCTTGTTGTTGTTTCTTCTTTGTACACAACTACTTAACAAACCTTGACCAATAATCAGCCAACAATGCACCCCACCTCTCGGGCTCTAGCATTTATATACCCTTTGAAAAGTCCCCAGAATTCCAAATGTCATACAATCGCAGAAACTATCTGCAGCTGGCAAAATCACGCCCCCACCAGAACACGTGGCAACTCATGGTCAGCTGCTGCAAAGTAGCCCCACATCAGCACACTTGGGATTAAAATAAAAACATTTTATAGTATTTCAGTGTTTTTAAAGAAAACAAACTTTCTTGCTATAACTTTGTATTTCTGTGACCACAGTTTGTTCTGTTTATAATTTGTTTTTAAGCTTTGTCAGATAAGAGCAGCAACAAACCACAGAAGAAAACTGGTAGTTGATGAATAATAACTTACTAGTGGGAAAATATAAACCCTAAAATATTTTCTTGGCCTGTACTTTGTTGGTTAGTTTGAGAAATTTTTTAATTTTATTTTTAATACCCAATTTAATAGAAATGAGTCTTATTTTCAGTTTTCTCTTTATTTGGCAGCACACCATTTGCAGTTCACCCATGAGTAACTTTTCACGAGAAATACAGAATATTGTTCAGTAGCCTTGGTCTTTAGAAAAGAAAAAAACAAAACAAAAAAACACTTAGCATTCATCAGCTTCATAAGGGAGCAGGAAATGAGTTCTTAGACATTAAACTAACTTAGTTAATAATTGCTGAGATGCTTTGAGAATCAGATTATTAGATTGTTCTGTGCTTTCTATAACTACAACTGTAACCCATAAAGTGGATTGGATGGCCTTGGTTTTTGCAGTGTAGAGCATTTTCTACAGAATGATGCAGGAACTGTTGTTGAGAATCAGCAACTGTGAAAGACTACACAGTTATGTGAGGCTTGCCATATATTTATGAATCAGATTTTAAGTAAAACCACAACCATTTCCTTGTGTGTCATTCATGCTGTAGCAGAGGATATGGTGCCGTGGAGCTGGCCTGGTTTGTAGTTTCTCATGTAAGGCTACACCACTTTCTTCTCCTTTTTAGAAGCCGCAGCAGTTTTGATGTATTATCAAACCACAAAATGTACCTTAAGCATATACCAGGAAGAACTGTGTTATGCTAGTCTTAGTACCGATTGTGTCATTCTCTTTGGGAAGTAATCCTGTAAATAAGCAAATACATCATTTGGAGTAGTTGATATATTGGAACTACAAAAGTGGTAAACAATTTTTTTTGTTTGTTTTCTGTTTATTGTACTTTTTTTTTTTCCCTCATACAGTCCCTCTAAGCAAAATCACTAAGGAATTTGGTTTGAGATTCTGGTCTGAGTGACTGTAAAAATGGAAATGTCACTTCACATCTTAGAGTATAGATGTTAGAGTTTATAGAATCTAAGAATACATACATAAGCATTAGATTATCCAGAAATGTTACCCTCTAGGGCCAAGTACATATAAGAGAGCTCTTAGCCATTCCAGAGAGGCATGACTGAATTTTTTATTTTTTTTTTAACTTTTATTAATTACACTTTATTCGCTTTGTATCCTCCCATAAACCCATTCCTCCTCCCCTCCTAATCCCACCTTCCCTCTCCCTTCTTCACGCATGCCCCTCCCCAAGTCCACTGATAGGGGAGGTCCCCCTCTCCTTCCTTCTGATCTTAGTCTATCAGATCACATCAGGAGTGGCTGTATTGTCATCTTCTGTGGCCTGGTAAGGCTACTCCCTCTTCAGGGGGAGATGATCAAAGAGCAGACCAATCAGATTATGTCAGAGGCAGTCCCTCTTCCCATTACTATGGAACCCACTTGGACACTACACTGCCATGGACTACATCTGTGCAGGGGTTCTAGGTTATCTCCATGCCTGGTACTTGGTGGGAGTATGAGTCTCTGGAAAGACCCCAGTGTTCAAATTTTCTGGTTCTGTTGCTCTCCTTGTGGAGTTTCTAGTGGTAAACAATGTTAAGGTCTCAAATATGTTGATTTCTATTTAAAGAATGTTTTAGGGTTGAGAGTACAGCTCAGTTGCAGAGCACTTGCCGTGTGTATGTAAAGCCAGGGTCTGTCCCCAGTCCACAAGAAGGCAAGGGGAATGGAGAGGGGATGTAGACAATACTTTGTGATGTTAACTTGACCCTAATATTTTAAAATCTCTTTTATTCTACCTTAGCATCAAGGCATGCCATGGGTTGCCTCTCATAAATGGACAAAGCTGTGATCCTTATGCAACAGTTTCCCTAGTGGGCCCTTCTAGGTAATGTTTATTGAATTGTTACTGGGTTTTCAAGTATAAGTTGGATTTAAGAATTGGAAATGTAAAGTTTTTAGATCAAATGCTGAGAAACTGTGACATAAAATAATGCTTTAAAAGAAGAATTTTTAGTAAGTTTTAGAGTATACTTGGTAAACAACTGAGTTCTGTTTTCACAGGAAGATATTTGGTATCATTTCAAATCTGCTATGTATTTATTAAGTTAGAGGGAAAACTTCAGTCTCACACTATTGTAAAATGTACTTTAAAATATATTTCTGGGCCAGGCACGGGGTATGCACACCTTTAATCAAAACACTTGGGAGGCAGAGGCAGGTGGATCTCTGAATCCAAGGCCATCCAGGGTCTAAAACAAAAACACCAAATCATATACACCTGGCTGCCTTTACTCATTAATATTCTTACTTTCAAATTTTCTTAATTTTTATACAAGTGAAATACCACATTTTAGTGAATGTCAACTCAAAATAACAATGCAATTTCCAAACTAGTATCCTGAAAGCTACTCAGAACTGAAAACTGCCTTTTCTATTCTTGATAGCAGTGCTTTATGGGAAGAGTTCCAAACTCTGAAAGAACTGCTGAAGTCCCAGAGTGTAGTAAAGTGCAGTGTATGTTGATTTAAATGGTCTATGATTTTTGAAAAACTGATAGCACTTTGCACTATCTATATTAGATAACTTCATTGTGGTTTCTTTACAAGACTGACTAGTCTGGAGTTTGTCTGAAACTTGAAGCTGTTAGTCAGGAAATAAAAGCACAAGATTTGTTCTTATACACACACGTGTGTACGCACACACATGCATGCGCTCTCCCTTATCACCTAAAGCTCTATTCTTTTTTTATAGTCACAAAGTCTTAAAAAGTATGTTTATACATGTATACTATGGAAGCTGAGATACTGATACGCTTTTATTATTGCAGATTGGTTTTAAATTTAAAAGCAGAAATCCATAAAGCATTAAATGCTGTCAGAGGGTTTTCCCCCACGTTAAAGATGTTCAACCTCGCTGGATATCGGAAGCATAACGATAATCTCTGTACCTGGGAATCAGAGGCAGAAGATCACAAATTCTGTCCAGCTTCACCTACTTAGTTAAGCTGCTCTCACAAAGAAATGAGAAGGGAAATAAGTCAGCCTAAAGGAGCTGCTTGTTTAGAGTAAACTTTTTGTAGTTCTGTATTTCAATCCAGAGCATCTTCAATCCAGATGCTAAGAATTACTCTACCAGTGAGATATGTCCTCACCTCAGGAGGCTTTTCTTGTCTTCTGTTTAATGATTTCTATCTCATGAACAAGTTCTTTAATGGAATTTTTAAAGTAACATTCCATAGAAACTTTTTAATGACTTATTTATGTTTATTTTATGTACGCTGGTGTTCTGCTTGCTTATATGTGAGGGTGTCAGATCCCCTGGAACTGGAGTTACAGACAGGTGGAAGCTGGCATGTAGGTGCTCTTCCTTTGGAAGAGAAGCCAGTGCTCTTTACCACTGAGACATTTTTTTAAAATTTTTTACTTATTTTTATTTTATGTACATTGGTGTTTTAACTGCATGCATGTCTATGTCAGGGTGTCGGATCCCCGGAACAGGAGTTACACACAGTTGTGAGCTGCTGTGTCAGTGCTGGGAATTGAACCTGGGTCCTCTTAGAATAGCAGTCACTGCTCTTCATCACTGAGCCGTCTCTCTAGCCCCTGCCATTTTTTTAAAATCACAGTTGATTTTGCTATTATACAATAGTCGCACAAGACATACACATTGGTTGAGTCTGTCTAAAGACACAAGACTACCTGTGTATTTCTTTATAACTGCCTCTGAATTCATACATTTACTTGAAAATTAAAGTTTTGGGTTTTCGTTTTGTTTTCTTGCTTATGTAAGTCAGTGTCATGACTGTAGCCCCAAGAGGTAAACTGAGTTAATAGTCACTTTTCCTGTTTCTCAGGTATTTTTCAGCATGAGTAAAGGCACTTGGGAGTCTCACCACTTCTTCTGCTATGTAATAGGATATGTTTAAAACTTTCAAAGAGAGCCTGGCAGCCAGCTTCTCACAGCCATGGAGACACTAACCCAATCTTGGCATGTATAGATATGTAAAATTTGTACCCTATGTCAGGATATTCACTGATTTAAGTTTGTGAGGACACACTGGCTTTTTCCCCTGGCATAGTATGTAAATTATTGTCTTCTCTCCGTCATCCTAGTATCTAGACATGTCAGGCATCTTGGGTGGAAGTAGCTTGTTTTATAATTGTGTACTGTTAAGTTCTACAAGGTAAAACTCTACCACATTGGAACAGGAACGACCAAAAGAAGACAAAAGTAAAGAAGAAAACAAGCAATCCGCAGTTTAATGAAATCTTTTATTTTGAGGTAATTTTTTGTTTTATATAAATGTTAATATATAATTCTAGTTTGTAAACCACAGCCATAGTAATTACTGTGCCAGTTAATGAGTTCTTTCTAGAAAGCACAGAGCTATAATGTAACACATTTAGCACTGGTAGATTTGGAAGTGGGGCGGGCTGGAGCCAAACCCACCCTGTATTTTCCTCATTTCACTCCCTTCAGACCCTCCCTACACTCTCCAGTCCACCTGGCACACAGGGACTCTTCTGAGCACACTGTTTGAAAACCTAGAATACAGCTTGCCACTCAGAAGATCTGGAATCTTTTCTCAGTTGACTTTAATGCTCAACTAAATGCGAAGCCTGCATTTCAGATCCTGTGAAAGGGCAACTTTATAAGGGAAAACAGTAGCAAATATGCCAAATAGGAGACTCCTTTGAGACTTTGAAGCACTTCATGATTAGACCTTTTTTACATTAAGTTCTCCATAATCTAATTTACTCTAAAGACCTATCTTGTTCATAAAGATCTTCACCTGCCTTGAGTGAATCCTGACTACTAGAACACCAAGGTGCATATTCAGCTGCCTTAAAATTGTCACAAATGCAGTGCTTTGGCATTCTTTCAAGTATTTAATAAGTCCTTTTTCATATTAACTGAAGACCATAGAAAAATTTTAAAATGAAAATCTCTAAAAGATTATAATAACAGAACAAGTTGCAATTGGTATTAACATGTGAGAACAGTTTATAAAAGTAGGTAATTATATCTTGAAGTCTTTCTTTTGTATTTTTCTTGTGTTTTGGAGAGGGCATCAGGGCACCCTCCTCACTCCTGATTGCTGTACTTTAATAAAAAGGAGCACAGGCTGAATAAAATGCAGAGGTGAGATGGGAAACTGTGGGGGCAGGGTAGAAGCAAAGGAAAAGGGAAATACACCAATACAAGAGACTTCCTTTTCTGGCTAAGGACTTGGCACAGTGTCCTATATTTATTAATGGCTCTTATGCCTAACCATGACAATATGAAGACGATGGCAGTTTTAAAAGTTGCTGTTCAAAGTTACTCACTGTGCATAGTTCACACCTCAGATGGGCTGGAACTCACTATGCTCAGGAAGGAACTTATAGCAAGCAGGTAACTTTGAAAGTCAAGGTGTGAACTGCTTAATATACCAGTTTACCTGTCAGGCCTTAAAGTGTGTATTCATTAAGCCCTTTATTAGATTGGCTATAAAGATAGGTATGATCTTTATACATAGCTATAATGTGCAGCACATACTGTTTGAGCTCAGGGTCAAAAGCAGTCTGAATACTAGATTTTTGTGAGAACAAAGCGAATATTACAGAGTCAGAACATTTGGGGCACAGAGACAGAAAAACTAAAAGTTATGCCTAAAGAACATCAAGTAATGATTTCACTGAGCTTGGTAAGAAAGTAACCATTAAAAAAGTAAAAAGGTGGGATAAACCAGCAAATGAGACCCTCTAGCGCCTGGCTAGAGGTGCTCTAATTTTAGCCATTGTATATTCTTGAACCTAGAAAGAAGTAACCGTGATCTGTTAGCAGGTACTTAGAGACTTACATTTTCAGTGTTCAAACAGCTGAGGGGCAGATAAGAAAGAAATGGCAGAGATAGGGAAAACTGGTGATAGAAGAAAGGGGGAAAAGAAACCAAAAGCACCCATGGATCCTTGTAAAAATCCTCCACCAGGCATCAGATATGGTACATACCTTAATCCCAGTCCCTGAAAAGTGTGGGCAGGGAGACCAGAGTTTCAAGGCCAGTCTCAGGCCACCTTATCTCAGAAAACAAATAAAATCTGCTAACAGGACAGTTCAAGAGGGAAACATGGCAGGTTATAACTATAGATCACAATACATGATTTGTTATATAGTCTGGAGAGCCAACGGAGTGAAGAGATGCAACAGAAGAAAACCAAAGCTCTAGAGCTTACTGACTGCAAAGCTTCAAATATGCTGCTTAGGTTTGTACTGTGGTTTCCTCGTTTTAAAACAAGGATAATAAATCTAGCCTTGCCTGCCTCAAAGCAACATTCTGATGAGGAAAAGAGATGATGGACATGATAGCACTTTGTAAGCTGGACAACACAGTGTGGCTTGAAGTTATTTTTAGAACAAAATAAAACAGAGCCTTGGAGAACCACCTGTGCAAATTCCAAGGAAGAAAGGAGAGCAGCGGGAGGTGGCGGATAGTCTGCAGGTACACTCAAAGCAAAGAGTAGGGGATAGGTCACAGAGAGAGGCCAAGCAAGGCCAAGGAGTACAGTCGACCTCAGATTTGATGATGAAGAGAGATTTTAGAAGGGTGATCTGTAAAGAAGCTGCAGATGACCTGAGTGGTTGATGCCCTGAGTGGGTGGTGAGGAGAGTACCCACTCTGGGATGAATTAGTTTTAAGGTAGTTGTCTGAAAAAGAAAGAAACGAGGGGACTGTGATTTAAGGGGATACTTTTTCTTAGACTAGAAAGAAGTGATCAGATTGGTAAGGATGGCTGTAATTAAGGTAGACTAAATGTGTATAGCACATGTTTCTTCAATACTGTGGGGAAAGGGTAGGCTTGGGGAGGTAGTCTTAGAATACTCTCCTTAGAATACATCTCCTCTTCAGAACACTCTCGGAGAGAGTCCTGAGGTGGGTGGGACATGGATGCTCAGCTGGGTGGCAGGTGAGGCAGTTCCGGCCCAGTTCCTGACAGTTTCCGTGAAAATGTGAGCAGGAGGTAGGAGTGGTGTGGTGTCCTTGAGAATGGCGGGAGAGACTTGAAGGTGTTTTTCAAAGTGTAGCTTTTTAAATGTGGTGTTTTTCCTCTTAGTGTCACTTGCAGACACCTGAAAAGCAGGGAGCCTGAGTTGATAGAAGTGGTGTGGAGCAAAGACGCCTTTGATTTTTGTACCACCCTTTCCTTACGGTGCATAGTTAGTATACTTTCCAAGATTTGGAATATTATTTTCACACTTGACTCCTTTTATATTTGAAATTGAATATTTGAGAATGGTCAATTTTTAATTCATGAAGAAAAAAGATATTTTTAAATGTTTTTACTAAAATATTTCATTAATAGGTAACCAGGTCCAGTAGTTACACCAGGAAGTCCCAGTTCCAGGTGGAAGAAGAGGACATTGAAAAGTTGGAAATCAGGTTTGTGCCTTGTGCTTTTACTAGATTTTCTGGGTAAACCTTGATAGAATTCTTTATAGCAAGTTGATTGATAAAGCTTAGAGAAACAGGCATCTAATTTAATCCGAATTATCTTTTCAAAATCTGATTTCTTTTCAGAAATACCAAAGTATATTTTTTTGTGTGAGCAAAGACATCCAGTTTCACCTACTCTGTTTTTCATTCTCCCTTACTTTAATTGCTCCTTAACTATCTGGATTATAGTATAATGAATGGAAAAGCAATTATATTTAAGTCAATTTAGAAATAATCTTTTTATTCTTCTTGACATATCTGCTGACTATCAGAAATTTCAGTGAGGTAAGGAGATAACTGCACAGGTGCATGTGTTTGAAGTTTGTGATATTTCCTAGGTCTTAAGTATCTATGTTGTTTGGAAGGGAAACTTGCAAATGCATGTGTAGGTGTGGTGTTAACAGCGTGTTATCTAAAAGGCATATTAATCATGTGTTCAGAGTGTTAGGCAATATTTTTCTAAATCACTGATCTTTACATCTTAATTTATCATCAAAAGAGAAACTATAGTCCTGTTTTGGTTTGTGTTCTCAAATTTAGTAAAATAACCCTTTTCTTCTACTGTTACAGATTTAAAAAAAAAAAAAAAAAAGACCTAGACTTTCAAACTAAGAATCCTAAGTTTCTCCTTTTAGACTGGAATTTGGTCAGGGAGGTGGCTCAGCTGGTAAAGGCACTTGCTGCCAAGCCAGCCTATCTGAGTTCTATCCCTGGACCCACATGATAGAAGGAAAACACCAACTCCTGTAAACTGTCCTGTGACCTCCACATGTACACAGTGGCATGTGCTCTTCCTCCAGATTAATTAATGAAAATGTAATTTAGAATTTAGATTGTGATTTTTCAATGACAGTTACTGTAGCACTTTGCTTTCAAAGTCTGGATAATGACAATGCTAACATCTCTTTTAAGCATGTAAAATTTGAGACTACAGTACAGATCAGCTTGAAACTACCCAGTGTGGCATGCAGAAACTAAAGCTAGGTTTTAAATTTTCAGGATTGACTTGTGGAATAATGAAAACCTAGTCCAAGATGTTTTTTTGGGAGAAATTAAGGTTCCTGTGAATGTGTTAAGAAATGATTCCTCTCATCAAGCCTGGTAAGACTTAACTCTAGTGAACCGAGTTTAACTCCTTTTTTTTTTTTTAAATGATTCATTATTTATTTATCTGTTTATTTTTATGTTCATTAATGTTTTGCCTGTATGTATGTTTGTCTGAGTTTAACTCTTTTATAAAGAATATAAATGCATGCTTGCTGGAAATAAGTCAGAAGTTATTGACATTAATTTCGTTATGAATTTGTTATTAGAGAAAAATAAGTACTTCAATAGTTTTGTCACCTGATCTGTGATACTGAGATAAAAGAACTTAGTTCCTAGGAATATTTCTCTAAGAATGAATCTTGTGACTCTAGAGATGGCTTAATTTGCTCCTTTATCTGGACTGGAGTTCAGATCCCAGCATCATGTACTCTCTTTGGTCTTGATGGAAACCTGTACGTACATTCACAGACATACACACAATAAATAAGTAAACAAAAACAAAGTCTTAAATCTAAGAAATGAAAAACATTAAGACATTGCATGACCTACTCATGAAAAGTCCCTTGATCAGACATCATCATCAGTTCGGATGCTTTTGGTCACGAGAAGTATGGGTGAGAAGCAAAGGGCTTACTGAGAAGACGCAACTGTGTGGGGGAGCTGGTGTGTGGTTTTCCTTCACACTATTAAAAATGCAGGTGAAGCTTGATGTGTTTGTGAGTGTAGGGGCTGGCACTGAACGGACTCACTGGCTTTAGGAGCCCTGGGCACTCAGTATTGACTGCACTGGTTTTTTTTACCTTTTCATGGCTCTATTAATGGTAGCAACTTGATGTTAATAAATGTAGTGTTTGGACATTAAATTCATATTTATTTCAGTGTGAGGCTTTGTCTCTATAGTCCTTAAAACTAGTGCTTCATGTCTTTTCATGTATGTTAGCCAGGGTTTCTTCCTAGATTGGTATTCCACCTGAGGATGTAGAAACATGCCTCTCTCAACTGCTGAGGACATTTGTGTGCTTGCATGTGTGTATACATGTGGGGAAAGCTGTACTTGCTCATGGTGGTATGTGGACATGTAGCTGTACATGCACACATGTAAGTATAGAGAATGGGGCTTAACCCTGGGTATCTTTTTTCATCAGTCACTCTCTTCATTTTTTGTAAAGAGGACTTCTGAACCTGGAGCTCCTTAGCTAGGCTGGCTGACCTCAGGGAGTCCACCTGTCTTTACCTCCTCAGTGCAAGGGTTACAGATTTGCACACCACTTAGCCCAGGTCTTCTGTGGGCACCGGGAACCCAGACTCAGGTGTCACACTTAACATAGCAAACAGGTTTTCAACTGAGCCGTTTATCTGTCACTTCCCTTTAAAGATCACTTTTTAAAATGAAATTTAATATTTGTGTTTGCTTATTAAGTATAATACTATTACATGTGTATATTGTGTAATGATCAAATCAGTATAGTCAGCATTTCCATCTCCTCAAATATCATTTCTGTATGTTGGGATCCTGAAAAATAATTATGCTGAAATGTAACATCAGTTGTTTATAAGCCATAGTTAACCTATTGGATTATAAACATGAGAGCTGTCAATCACTCCCACAGCTACTTTTAGAGCCCACACCCTACCTTTTTCTGCCCCTTCTCCCCTCCTGCCTTCTAGCAACCCCTTCTGCCAACCTATATTCTACTTTTTTTTCTTTGTTTTGGTTTTTCAAGACAGACTATCTCTGTGTAGCCTTGGCTGTCCTAGACTCTCTTTGTAGACCAGGCTGATCTGGAACTCAGAGATCTGCCTGCCTCTGCCTCTGTGAGTGCTAGGATTACAGGCGTGCACCACCACACCCAGCTTCTACTATCTTTTTATGTGGATCAACTTTAGCTTTCACAAATAAGAACTTGTGGCCTTTGTCTTTCTATGCCTTACTTCACATGATAAAATAACCACAAATCATAAGATTTCATCTTTTGGTAGCAAAATGTCTGTTGATTAGTGAATGGATTTCAATAATGTTAATAAAAACCACTTTATAGTACTCAGTTTCTTCTGCCTAGAAGAGTTAACATTGAATATTTAGAGGTTGGTTTTTGTTGTTGTTTTGCTTCATTTTTGTTGTTTGGTTTTCCAAGACAAGGTCTTACTCTGTAACCTTGGCTGGCCTGGATCTTGCTCCTGGCCTTGAACTCAGAGATCCACCCGCCTTTGCCTTCTGAGTGCTGAGAGTAAAGATGTGCACCACTATGGCTGACACTGAGCATTTCGATGTTTCTTGTTGCTCTCATTTGCCTTTAAAAGAGCCTACCTCTTCTATCCAGTGATCAGACACTCCTTATTTGATTATGCTATTCCATAGCCTCCCTTATAGACTGTGTTGCTTTTAAATTTTATTTTTAACTCTTCTAATGCCAATCTAAGATGTATTGGTCTCTCTAATGACAAATGTACCACAAATGTCATTAGAGAGACCAATGTTTTAATTTCTAAATGCATTCAGAGCTGGGTATGGGGGAGAGATGACTTTATTGTTACAAAAAAATATATTCACATTTGCCTCCCTCTGAATATGTCACACTTTTGTTCATCTCCACAAAAATTTCTGAATTCAGTTTTTAAGTCTTTAAAATAATATTCCGTCCTTTTTGGTCCAGAAGAGAAAAATGAGTTATGTCTTCCAGAGCCCACCAAAATGAACTTGAAATCTGCCCCAAATCATGTACTATCAGTGACACTGTCTCTGCATATACTTTCCAAAATTGGCAATACTTTCTACCTTGGCAGACTAGGGAATTTAACAGACAATAAGTAATTTTATTTCAGTTTCTTCTGTCAGTAGTGTAAATATTTTATGTACACTTGAGTGCTGGTGTCATTGAGACCAGAGTCGTTACATCCTCTGGATCTGGAGTTACAGGGGGTTGTGGGTGCCTGATTGGGGGTGCTAAAAAACTGAGCTCAAGTGCTTTGTAAGAGCAGTTTATGATCTTAACCACTGAGCCTTTCTCAAGCCCCCAGTAATATGAATATTTTAAAAATAGCTGTCAGAAGCATAAATGCTAAAATAAAAGAGAAGAATCTGCTAATCTATGTGTATTAATGTACATTGTATGGAAATATAAAAATGTTAATGCCATTTTATTTTAACTCAAGATTCTTGGTCTCCATCACTTGTAGAGCTGTAGCATCCTCTAGTGGTAATAATGATAACTGCACAAAACTCATTTTTATTCAGTCATAATTATTTCTAATTTTGGTATTGCAAAGGGTTGTAATAACTTATCTAGGCAGTAATACTGTTAGAAGCTTTTCTCTTTTCTTTTTTCTAGTAATTTCCATTAGTATTTGCCTATTATATTGAACTTCTAAAAACTGGTTTTTGATGATTCCAATTTATTTTTTCTATTTTATTTTATGTATATGAGTGTTTTGCCTGCATTTATGTCTGTGTACCACATGTGTGCCTGGTCCTTGTGAAGGTCATAAGAGGGTGTCAGATGCCCTGGCTCTGGAGTTACAGATAGTTATGAGCCAGCATGTGGGTACTGGGAGTCAAACCCAGGTCCTCTGCAAAAGCAGAAAGAGTTCTTAGCTGCCATCTCTCCAGCCCCAGTTCCAATTTAATTTTATTTAATTTTAATTTTATTTGTTTCTTTCTAAAACTTTGTTACATTTATTTATTTACTTTTATGTGCGTGTTTCTTTGTGTGTATAGCACGTGAATGCCTGTAGGAATTGTTGCTCTGTTTCCACCTTTTGGCTTCTCAGTATTGAGCTAAAGTTGTCAGCTTTAGCTCTCGAGTTGGCTCTCAGTGGTGGAACATGAAAGAATAGAGCCTAAAAATCAGGCAGCCTAAAGTCTCATGCAATAGCCAACTTCATAGAGCACCAGACAATTTATACTCTGGGTGTTGAGAAGAATCACATGAGTAAAGTGTATAATCACAAGGATGAGCTGCATGCAGAAAAAAAAAAAAAAAATCTCATGCTTTTCTATAAAGGCATAGAAACAAATAACAATAGCCAGTTGTAACGAATAATCAAAGGAAACTCAAACACTCCTATCTGCTACGCCTGGGAGGCGCATGAACAAGTCTGTGCTTTTGAAGAAACTTAGAACACAAGACGTAAGCTTTCTCAAGCACTCAGAATTCCCCTTGCAGGACTCCATTCTTGGACAGTGTTCCCACAGTCAGCAAGTGCTGCTTCCTGCTGAGCTGTCTTGTCAGCCCTTCTCCTTTTCTGACTGATTTAACTCCTTGACATTATTTTTATTTATGGTGATGATTAGGTTAGGCATGTTAGCATTGTCTTGTTCATGATGATATTAGCTAATTTTCACTTTGTGTAGATAATAAAATTTGGTTTAATTTTTTTAAATGGTATTTTTAAAAATAGGTATCACACCACTCCTAGGTAAAAATATAGTAAAAGAGAACCCTGCCTCCTGCCCCCTGCTACTCAACTGGTCCTATTTCTGAGTTAGCCCCCGTTCCCTCGTTTCTGGGCATACTCTCTGTACATATAGGAATGTACATGTATATATTTTCATTCACTCATTTGTTTTGTTTTGTTGAAATTAAGTCTCTGTGTAGCCTGGGCTGGCCTGGAAATCAGAATCCTCCTGCCTTAGCCTCCCAAGTGAATACTCTGCCATACATCCACCTGCACTTTTATTTTTACTTAGCAGTAGAGTAGAACACTGTAAGTTTGTGTTGACTATTGATAGTGGTTAAGAACTTGTACTCTGGAACCAGACTACCTCTATTCAGATCCCATCTGTACCAGTAACGACTTTCTCTGTGCATGTACTTACTTCATGAATAGGCTGAGAACACATTTCACCCAGCGGCTTCACTCCAGCCGCTAGTTTCTCCCTCTGTAGTCACTGTTTCCTTATCCCACTTGCTTGTTACTCACTACCATCACATGGAGTCGACTGTCTTTTTACTTTAGGTATTTGCTGCAACCAAGAGACAATGGAAACAAGTCATCTAAAACTGATGACCTGGGATCACTTCGATTAACTCTGTGTTACACAGAAGACTATGTACTTCCATCAGAGTACTATGGGCCATTGAAAACTTTGCTGCTCAAATCACCAGATGTTCAGGTACTTTAAAAATCTTCCATGTCTGATTCGATGGGAAAAGGATAAACTAATTCTGTAAATGACAAGAAAAGACTTCATAGTGTCAGCCCTTACAAAGCCCTATGTATTTGATTTCTCTGAATCAGAGTTCTGATATGTGCTTCAAATTTTATCTCTGATTAGAATTTAGAAAACTAAGTACTATTTTATGTATCTGTTATAATTAATTTGTATATTTAAACTGCATCCACAGGTAAGTGACTGAACATGTAACCATGTTTTCTTGACTCTGTGCTTGTTTTCTACCATTCTGTATCCTAGCCAGTATCCGCCTCAGCTGCTTATATTTTGGGTGAAATATGTCAGGATCAAAAGGATGCTGTTTTGCCTCTTGTACGACTATTGCTGCATCACAATAAACTTGTTCCTTTTATCACTGCGGTGGCTGAACTGGACTTGAAGGATACTCAGTAAGAATTGTATTTCATTAAATGTTAATTATGCATTGTTGAAATTAAATTTTAATTTGCCAGATTGTTTTTATAGTCTGAGTTCTTTTGTATTGACCAAGTTTACTATACAACAGGATAAAAAGAACTGCTTAGTCAGTAACAAAAGGCAGTTTTTAAAGTCACCAAACAGTCCAACAGAAAGGACTGTTTAGTGAGAGAATGTTTTTAATTCAGTGGTGCAGTTTCCTTTGTTTCTGTTATTGATCTTTGCGTCTGGATGCAGTGATTCATATGTCACAATAAGCTAGCCACTCTGCATGAGGCACACTTGTAGGCACACATAGGACATTATAAAGAGCGATCAAATGGCTTTCCATTCCCATTATAGTAAAACAGCACCATCATTTTATGCACAGATTCCCACACTCCCTTTTTAAATTTATAAACACAGTTTCTTTTTAAAAATGATTTTTAACATTTTCAGAAAATAGTTTTGGTAGGTTTAGTAATCCTAATGGCAAACAACATTTCCTGTTAATAGTAAAAATTAGAAGTAAAATTGTGTATATGATCGAAGTGAAACATGTTACTGTTTTAAAACTGTTTCTTCCCTTTTTGCTGTATTTAGTTTTGTTTTGTTTTTTTTCCTCTTTCTATTTCAGAGATGCAAGCACAATTTTTAGAGGAGATTCCCTGGCTACCCGGTGTCTGGATGAGATGATGAAAATAGTGGGAGGGCACTACTTGAAAGTCACATTAAAGCCTGTTCTAGACGAGGTAGAGTTTTATTCCCAGCCTGTGTGTTGTGACCCCTTAGAGCTCAAACAGCCCTTTGACAAGGGTCGTCTAAAGCCATCTGCATATCAGATATTTACATTACAACTCACAACTGTAGCAAAATTACTGTTAGGAAGTAACAATAAAAATAATTTTATGGTTGGGGGTTCACCACAACTTGAGGAACAGTGTTAAAGGGTCCCAGCATTAGGAAGGTTGAGAACCACTTCTGTAGAGCTTCTCTTCCAAGAAATAATGTGTTGATTAGAAGGGTCTGTGCATTCATGGACTACTGAAGGAATAAGTATAGACACTTTATAAGTCAATTACTTTGCCCTTTGTAGAGTTTTACTCACGAGGCACATTGATCTACATTATTGTTTGTTATATTTTTCTTTTACTAGGATTTTAAGTATATAGGAAATAATTTGATAGTTATTTGGGAAATTGTCTACATTGTACATTTTATCTCCAACTGGGAGCTTTAAACTTTGTTAGATTTAATTTTTATAATATCAGAAGAAGAGTTCTTTTCATGATGTTAAATTACCTAGAAAAGAATAGTAACTGAAAAATACATATATTTTTCAGATATGTGAATCCTCAAAACCCTGTGAAATAGATCCTGTTAAGTTGAAAGAGGGAGATAATGTGGAAAATAATAAGGTAAGTTTATATAATATAGTTCATAACTCCATTAATTTTTTATCTTAATGTTATATCTGCCTCCCATAAAGGGTTTATTTTCTTTTCTGTGTATGAGAGTTTGCCTGCATGTATGTCTGTGTACCGTATGTATGCTTGGTACCTATGGAGGTAAGAAGAGGGCATTTGATCATTTGGGAATAGAATTACAGATGGTTGTAAGGTACCATTTGGGTGCTGAAAATCAAACCGAGGTCCTCTGCAAGAATATATAGATGATCTTAACCACTTAGCCATCTCTCTACTGCACACACATACTCATAAATTTTAACACCATGTGTCTGCAAAAAATGCTATTTATTCTTTACTTCAGCCTTTATTTTTTAGAGCATTTTCTAGTACTGATTTTACCTTATTTTTATTCTTAAAATTTTTAATTTAGCATTCTTAATTGTATGTATGTATTTGGAGGTATGTGTCTGGATATACACACGTGACTGCAGATGCCAGCAGAGGCCTGAAGAGGACATCCAATCTTCTGGAGCTGGGCTTGCAGGCCGTTGAGAGCTGCCTGACGTGGGTGCTGGGAACTGAGCTCTGGTTCTCTGGAAGCTATTCTTTTCTTAGCATATATATAGATTATATGTTATGTTACGATATTTTCATACATGTACATAAGGTATTTTGATTATGTTAACTGCCTTTTATCTTCTTGTCTCCCTGCTACTGATCTGTTTTCTCTTTTCAACTAGTCCTTCCCTTCAACTTTTCTTTTCTTTTTTTTTTTTGAGACAGAGTTTCTTTGTGTAGCCCCGGCTGTCCTGAAACTCACTCTGTAGACCAGGTTGGCCTTGAACTCACAGAGATCTGCCTCTGCCTCCCAAGTACTGAGATTAAAGGTGTGTACCACCACCAGCTCTTCTTTCGTTTTTGGTTGTGGGTATGTGTGTGTGGAAGTGCAGTCGCTGTGGAGTCCAGAGACTTGGAATTCCCTGAGCTGTGTCACTGGCAGAGGTGAGCTGTGGGACACAGGTGCCAAGAACCTAAGTGCTTCTGGGCAAGAGTCCGTGTGTTCTTAGCTGCCCAGCCTCTCCCGCCTCCTGCCTTTTTTCTTTTCTTAAATTTTTGCTTTTAATTATTGACCCATTGACCCTCCTGCTTTTCTACACTTTCATGTTGTGTGTCTGTGTGTGTGTGCACGCGCACACTCCTGTGAGCTCATGTACATCCTACTAGGTTTACTTAAGGACAGGAAGGTGATTGTACCAGTTTACATTCCCACCAGCAGTGGAGGAGGGTTCCCCTTTATCCACAACCTCTCCAGCATGTGTTGTCTTTGAGTTTTTGATTTTAGCCATTCTGATGGGTGTAAGGTGAAATCTCAGGGTCGTTTTGATTTGCATCTCCCTGATGGCTAAGGAAGTTGAGCATTTCTTTAAGTGTTTCTTTGCCATTCTATATTCCTCTACAGAGAATTCTCTGTTTAGCTCCGTACCCCATTTTTTAATTGGATTACTTGATTTATTGCTTTTTAACTTTAGTTCTTTATTTATGCTGGATATCAACCTTTCTGTCAGATGTAGGGTTGGTGAAGATCCTTTCTCAGTCTATAGGTTGTCATTTTGTTCTGACGACAGTGTCTTTTGCTTTACAGAAGCTTTTCAGTTTCATGAGGTCCCATTTATTAATTGTTGCTCTTAGAGCCTGTGCTGCTGGTGTTCTGTTCAGGAAGTTGTCTCCTGTGCCAATGAGTTCTAGGCTCTGTCCCACTTTTTGGCGCTTTCTCAGACAATTAGGAATAGTGCTTCCTCAAGACCCAGCTATACCACTGCTAGGTATATACCCAAAATTTGCTCAAGTACACAATAAGGACATTTGCTCATCCATGTTTGTAGCAGCTTTATTTGTAATAGCCAGAACCTGGAAACAACCCAGATGTCCATCAACAGAGGAATGGATACAGAAATTGTGGTATTTTTACACAATGGAATACTACTCAGCAATCAAAAAAGAGGAAATTTGCAGGCAAATGGTGGGATCTAGAAAAGATCATTCTGAGTGAAGTATCCTAGAAGGAGAAAGACACACAGGGTATATACTCACTTATATAGGCCTATAAGATATGATAAACATAATGAAATCTATATACCTAAAGAAGATAAACAAGAAAGAGGTAAGATGATCAACCCTCACGTAGACAAATGGGATGTGCATTGGACGTAGGAAAAAACAAGTAACAGGCCCGGAGTCTACTGCAGAGGGCCTCTGAAAGACTCTACTTAGCAGAGTATCAAAGCACTTGCTAAGATTCATAACCAAACCTTCAGCAGAGTGCAGGGAATCATATGAAAGAAGGGGGAGTAAGTATGACATGGAAAGGATAGGAGCTCCACAAGGACCAACTATATCTGGGCACAGGGGTCTTTTCTGAGACTGACACTCCACCAAGGACCATGAATGGATATAACCTAGAACCTCTGCTCAATAACCAATTGGTTTCCCATAGTAAGGGGAACAGGGACTATTTCTGACAGGAACTCAATGGCAGCCTCTTTGACCTCCCTACCCCCCAAGGGAGGAGCAGTCCTGCTAGGCGACAGAGGAGGACTTTGCAGCCAGTCCCGAAGATACCTGATAAAACAGGATCGGATGAATGGGGAGGCGGTCCCCCTCATCAGTGGACTTGGAAAGGGGCACGGTGGAGATGAGGGAGGGAGGGTGGGGTTGGGAGGGAATGAGGGAGCGGGATATAGCTGAGATACAGAGTTATTAATGTAATTAATAATAAAAATTAAAGTTAAAAAAAGGACAGGAAGGTGAGGGGTTAATTGTATTAGCATAGACAACTTACCAATAGTTATACCACAAAAAGATGTTTCTTCCTATCCCCAGCAACCACTTGTTGCCTGTAGATCCTCAGGAACAGGTAGGGACTTGTGATTTACCCCTACTCTGATAGGTTGTTGGTGGGCCTGATTTTGGGACTTATTTTGGTGATCATAGCTACTGAGAATTCAAGAGTGCAGTGGCCATGTAGTACTTAAAAAACTGTTGGTTCACTCTTCCTCCTAGATTCCGTCTATTCTTCAGTGATGTTCTCTGAACCTCAAAGGAGGCGTTATAGATGGCTCACAGTCACTGATTTTCAGCACTGTGAGCTTCTGCCATAGCTGCCACAGACTACAAAAAGAAGCTTCTCTGTCCAAAGCCAACAGCATCACTAATCTATGGGGTTAAACATAAATATTTAGAAGGCAGTTTGATAGGCGTGTCCACTTAGGAGATCAACAAATCAACAGCAGGAGCTTCCCCACTGCACCGCTACTCTTATCCCAGCCGTGGGTTTTTGACCAGGTGTACAGTGTCAATGAGAACTCCCTCCTGGGAAGCAGCTTCAGATCCAAATTAGAAAGTGCTTGTTTATCCCCAAAACAGTAGTGCCCCATTTCCTGGGAAGACAGAAGTGTAGTGCACAGGGTTGCAGCTGAGCAAATTCTTAATGACAGTTCTGCCTTAGCAGCCTGCGTTATACCCTCTACCACTATGAAATCTAACTAGCAGGGAGAAAATGTCTAGACCAGAGCACGTGGTGGCTTCAGCGTGCAATGGCTTCAGCAGTAGGGTCTTGGCATCTAGTGCTAGTGAGCAAACACAGTAGTGGCCTTTAAACTGCAGCTGGTTGCAGCCACCCTTCTGACTATTCATCGCAGATCAGACCAAGTGACCTAATGACTTTAGTTGCCTCTGAGAAATCTTTAACTGTGTTTAGGTCACAAGTTTTCACTGTAGTGTATAACTGTGTCACTGTGTACTAATGCTGCCTATCATGAATTATTCCCTGGTTTCCTTTTTTATTGTCTTGTTAACTGTGTTTCTTGTGAAAATTACTCATATATTCATTCACCTGTCTAGAAAGTGTGAATTTAACTTACTAAATTGAGCTAGAATATTGATTGCCCTTTTAACTGAATGAGTTTGGAGAATGGAAGCAGTGCTTTATAGTCATCCTCTAATAACTCTCATATCCACTACTTTTATCATAAAGACAATTGGAGATGTGTGAAAATAAAAATCTTAGTGTTTACTTTGTTAAAACCTGCAGGAGAATCTGCACTACTATGTGGACAAAGTATTCAATACGATTGTAGGATCAAGTGTGAGCTGCCCCACTGTGATGTGTGATATCTTTTATTCCCTGAGGCAGATGGCTACTAAGAGATTTCCTAGTAAGTGCCTTGTTATGCTTAATCACACTGTTTCTTTTCCTATATTTTTTCCTACATGCTGTCTGTTTAGTTTGTATGAATGAAATATTTGTGCATAGATACAGTCTTAGAAGGTTTTCAAAATGGTGCTAGCTTCTTGTGAGACAATGGTTTATTTTGCCTATTATCTCAAAGCATACAGTTCAATTTATTTCAACATAATGCCAACTTTATATAAAGAGCGAATCAAATTCATTAGTTTTAAGAAGGAAAATTTTGGATCTATAAGATTTACTGTAATATGCAAGTAAACCTTTATGTGTTGTGTATTTAAGGGATTGTGGAAAACCAGGCGTTGGGGACACACCTGTAATCCCAGCACTCAGGAGGCAGTCAGAAGGATGCTATGAGTTCAAAGCCAGCCTGATCTACAGAGAGCTCCAGGACAGCCAGGGCTACACAGAGAAACCCTGTTTGGGGAAGGGAGGAAAAAAATTAAACAGGAACACCTTTGTATACCAGCTGTTTTTTTCCAGTTGTATATTTTAAAGCAATAGTAATCATTAATTTCCTACAAACTAGATTTGACAGCTTGGGAATGCTGAGATGTCTGTGGTGAGGTGTTTTTCAGAAATGGTCTTTGGCTTTACAAACACTTGTCCCAACATAGGATTTTTAATAATCATCATGCTTCAATTTTGCAAAATTAGCTATGTTAAGTTTTGTTTTGTTTTCAAGACAGAGTTTCCGTTTGTAGCCTTGGCTGTCCTGGACTTGCTTTGTAGACCAGGCTGGCCTCAAACTGACAGAGATCCACCTGCCTCTACCTCCCTGACTGCTAGGGCTACAGGTGTATGCTGCTGCACCTGGCTTTTATTAAGATTTTGCTTGGAAAGATATTATAAAGTTATGAATCACTACTTCTTATTGTTAGTACTTGGAGAAACTCAAATTTTAGTTCACTTCTACTATATTAATAAAATTTCCAAAGCCCATTGCAGATCTGCCTATAACAGATGGAGAGGCTACTTATTAATAATCAGGTTTATCTTTCTGCATAAAACTGTAGATTAACTTTCTTAGCCATCCAAAAAGATTTTGTTATTTTATTATGTTTGCATTTATCTGTCTCTCTATTTAATTTACCCAGTAGTAAAGTAGTAGGGCTGAATTGTCTTAACTTCTACATGAATTCAGGTTTAAGTTTCCTGGCTAATTTTAATAAAGAAATAAAACATTTAGCTTTAAATAAATAATATCTAATCCTCATAATCAATAGAGGCAAAGACTTGCTCCTACATACATAAAGATGAAGTGCCAACTAAATTCTAAGTAGTGAGCTAGCTCATATCCACATTGCCTGCTTGCTAGCCTGTCTTAATTTGGTTCCAAACATTGAGGCCATTATCTATTGATTAGATAATGAAACTGAGTCTCAGTTTTTACTACCTTGCTAACAGAGCAAGCAGTCAGTTAAGAAGTGGTTTCAAAGCTACTGAGTGGTTTGTAAGAGCTAAAACTCAAGTCAAATGCATACTCTTTTCTTTGCCACCCACCTCTCTAGCATCTGGTTGTTGGGTTAGTTGTTGACTCCAGTCTAAAACAAGTACTGACAATGAGTGATCGGCACTTACAAGTAGTCTTCAGTTCACTTGCAGTTTTATGTGAAACATTGGTAGCCTTTTAAATATCTCTACCTAATAGCTTCTCGTCTTTAAGTTGTTGGTTTTCTTTTTTGTGATCATTACCTGAGAGAAACAATGTAAAATATTTACATGGGCTCCTGGTTTCAGAAGCTTCAATCCAAAATCCACAGGATCCCTTGCTTTAGTCAGGCCTGGAGCAAGGTAAAATATTATGATGGTGGTATCTTGTAACAGAGGAAGTGGCACTGCCTGGTAGTGAGGAAGCAGAGAGAGGGAGAGGGAGGGATGGACCGGAGTTAAAGTATACCCTTAAAAGACATACCCCAAGTACTCAGCTTCCTCTAACAAGTTTCCACCTTCTACAGCCCACCACCTCACACCAACAGCCTATTCCAGTCAGATCATCAGTGTAGTGTACCATTGATTAGATCGTAATCTAATCCTCTCTGAAAACATTCTTACAGAAATACTTTGATGGTGATTTGCTGTTCTCCAGGGCATTTTTCATCTAGTGAACTGGATAATGATACTGGACCATACATACATACATACATACATATAGCCTTTTATACTATCAAGATTTTTAGGATGAATTTGAAACAAAAGTATAAAAGTGAAAGCTACTTTTAGGTATTCAGTGTTGCCACTCGGTAGTGCTAGATAATGCTTTTATTTTATTTTTCTGTAATTTCAAGAATCTTTTATATGAAGAAAAAGCATTTTTCAAATTAAAAGATGTTTTTTTTTTAAAAGCATGGGAACGTTGCCTTTCATTCTATTTGTTATTTTAAGTTACAGCATTTTCTTCTTTTAGTTTAGCCACAATTACTAGTATCATTTCACAAACTCAAATTTTGCTTTACAAATTATTTTCCTCTCTCCTGCATAGTTTACATGATGTTGTTTTACTTCATCATCTTTGGTTTTTACTCAGTGTTTTGCATGACATGTCACCATTTTATCCCTGCAGATCACCCTCATGCTCAGTACTGTGCAGTGAGCAGCTTTGTGTTCCTCCGTTTCTTTGCTGTAGCGATACTGTCACCTCATACTTTTCATTTGCGACCTCATTATCCAGTAAGTGTTTGTTCCTCTCAAAGCTTTATTCAATTTTTATTTATTTTTAGTGAAATGAAGAAAAAATAAAGTAAGCCACTTTTACTGTGCTATGCTAAGACATTTCACAAGTGCTGATGTGCTGACAAGTTGAAGTCTGCTGATGAGCAGAAGGGAGGTGCATCAGGCTTTCCCTCTGCTGTTGCACAGTGCTGCTGGTCCTCAGTTGCAGATGCTGCTGATGGTGGTTACCTGGTAGTCATAGTTTTGGCTGCTTATTAGCTGATCCTTTCCTGATTTATTGCAACACTTTATTTATTATTATTATTATTTTTTTATATTTTGAGGCAGAATCTTATTATAGAGCCGAGATTGACCTTAACTCACAACAGTCTTCTTGTGTCAGCCTTCAGAGTGTAGGCGTACAGGCCAGCTTATGATAATTTAGTCTTGGGAATATTTTTAGAACTTTGAAGAGCAATGAAGAAGACTCATTTCAAAAGTATATAGGAACCTAACTTACTTGGTATCTTCATACTTTTACTTTCTGTTAACCTAAGTTGTATCAAAATATGAGATTTATAATTCTTAAAAAGAATTTAGTTTATTTCTGAGGTTCTGCTCATTTACCTAAATCTAAATCTTCTTTGTATATATACTTCTTAATATTTTAAGGTTCCTTTTTTTCTTTTAACTTATTTCTAGTCCTCATCCAGCATATTTTCAGTCATTCTTTAGCTTTTTTGTTTTAAATACTTTATACTTTTTTTTTTTTTACTTTATACTCTTGATGCATTTTAGCTGCTGACGTATAACAGGATAATAAAAAACAGTTACTGATGACTTTGTTCTAAGCTTTGCTTAAATTGTTTTATATGTTTAACTCACTTAGGTAGTCCTAGTCACTGTAGGAGTGAATTATTTTATTAGCCCCATGTACAGGCAAGGAAATCACCATGCAGTAACTTCTCGAGGCTCACATAACTATGGCATTATGGTTGGATGCTACACACCTTGGACTAGATTCAAATGCGGCTAGTTTAGTCTCCATGGTCTATAAGCAGACTGGTGTTGGAATTCACACAGCAACCGCTGTTGTAGTGCTCACTGCTGGAGACACATGTAGTCTTACTAGACATCCCCTACCTTAAAATGTACTCGTGGTTCATTAAGTAATTCAGTGTAGGGATGGCAAGGTCTTGTAGCTAAATGTCTACTGCTCCTCTGGATAGCCTCACCGTGTTAGCAGTGGCAGAAGATAGATGTTCTGTGTAGCCTGAACCCTTCTGCTCATGGAGAATCCTTTCTGTGACTATGTTAACTAAAGACCTGGAACAGTGAAAACTTGCCAGCAACATTTTGTACATAAACAGAACTCCCACCTCTGAACTTGTGACTCTGCCTTGTATTCAGACTTGGAGTTCCTAGATCGAGTGTTGAAATAAAATCCCTCTAACCACAAACTCTTTTAGGTCACTTTTCATGCAATCTTATTATTTATTCCAATTTTTTCATCTTTTCTTTTGGCCCCTTTTTATTGTTGCTTCCATCCCTGCCATGTAAGCATCTCCAGCAGGTCTTAACCACAACCCTCCATTTTAAAGAAATTTTGAAGTAGTGGGAATAGAGAAAACACGATATTTAGCATTGATGCTGTAGGGATGAGCATAGATGCCTTCTATTAATCTAGAACTATTTGCATAAATTTAAAACTAGCACTTGCTTAGTTCCAAGTAAAAACTATGAGTAAGTACTACTGTATAAGCCGAGAATACAGAGTAAGCTCAGAAAACTGGGGCTGATGACATGTCAGGTACTGAAAGATACAAAGTAATTCCGGAGCAGAGTTGATCAAACATTACTGAATTTTACATTTAGAAATTCTTTGAATTTTCACAAAGTAATTACAGAATTTTTAGTAATTACAGTAGTTTTAGAGTAGGCAAGAAAGAGTAGATTAAAGAACAAGTAACTAAATAATTACAGGTACCAGATATGAGCCATTCTTACTGAAGGAAACTCAAGAAAGTATGTGTGCTCACACATACATGAACTATTGTGTATTTGAAAACACTAGTTTTAAAATATAGAGAGGCTGTAGAGATGGCTCAGCAGTTCAGAAGGCATACTGTGGGGCTGGAGAGATGGCTCAGAGGTAAAGAGCACTGGTTCCTCTTCTTCTAGAGGTCCTGAGTTTAATTCCCAGCAACTGCATGGTGGCTCACAACCATCTATAATGAAAGCTGGTGCCCTCTTCTGGCATTGAGATATACATGCAGGCAGAACACTGTATATATAATCAAATAAATAAATCTTTTTTTTAAAAAAGAAGAAGGCATACTGCTCTTGCAGAGCACCCAAATTCAGTCTCTAGCACCCATGTCAGGCAGCTCACACCCACTCTAGGAAAGCTACTAACGTTCTCTTGAACTCTGGCCACCTGTACCCTTGTGTGCACGTGCCCACACACAGATACACATACACACATTTTTAAAAATCTTTAAAAAAACAAAGTTTAAGCTGGGCACAGTGGTACACCTAATCCCAGCACTCAGGGAAAGCTGAGGCAGGTGGATTTCTGTGAGTTCAAGGCCTTCCTTGGACTACAAACCAAGTCTAGGACAGCCAAGGCTACACAGAGAAACCCTGTCTCAAAAAACAAATGAATAAATAAATTAAAGAAATAAAAATAAAATTTAAAAATATAAATAATGAGCTAGACTAAGGGTTGGGGCTGTAGCTCGGTGGTAAGGAATTTACCAAGCATTTGTGAAGCCCTACATTCAGTTCCTGGTAATGTCAGAAGAATGAAAAAAGAAAACCTTCATTTGAATTGCCTTGGCAGTTGTTTTTTGTTGTTGTTTTGTTTTTTTAAATACCAGTTATATGAACATTGACGAGGTAAGCCAATGTTGCAGTGTCATAAAGGAAAAAATTGGTCTGTTTTCATTTTAGCCTCTTTTAAGACCTTCCTAGTGGAGACTTCTTTATGTCTCTCGTACACACCTGTAACACCCTCTCTGTTGTGGCATTTTATATTCTGTTCTAGTAGCATCTGTGTAGAACAGATCTCTACACCCATGCTGCTAGTACCTCCGGAGCAAGGCAGAACCTTTTCTAAATACGTGTATCCAAAGCATATGGCTAGGACAGTCACTTGCTCAGTGAGTCTAGACTAATAAAAATGGTCGTTTGGAGAAGAGCTCATCGATGGAAACAGATTCATGGTTGAAATGCAGGCAAGTGGCAGGCAAGTGAAAAGAGTTTTGCTGCCTCCAGGTCAGAGTTCCAGAAGATTCAAAGAAAAGGTAATAAGATAAGAACAGAACAACTGCTCTTTTCAAAGATTATAGCAAACCTGTGACTAAAGACAATCAAATGACACTATTTCCATGAGTCAAAATAAGAAAAAAAAAAAAAAGAGATAGAATGTATGCTAAGTTATTTTGAATTTAAAAAATTCAGTATTTCAGTTGCGTTTAATAAATGTTACATAGTGTTTCCTGAGTGACAGTATCAAGCTGTGTACTGGGAGCCAGGTGATGAAGGTTTCTGGGTACAAAGTGAAGGAAAGTTTTGTTAGGTCTGTGTGCAGATAGTACCGGATAATCAAAGCAGCTGAGTGACAGGGCTGTGCAGTAGTAGCCGCATTCACAGGCTCTAACAAGCCAGTGGTAGACTGAAATGGAGTCAAATGTGCCTTGTTCACTTTTGCTAGTTTAAGAAAAAATAGCATAAAACACTGAATTTAAAAACCAAATTTAAGCCAGGAAGTGGTGACACACACCTTTAATCCAAGCATTCAAGAGGCAGAAGCAGGCGGATCTCCGAGTTCAAGGACAGCCTGGTCTACAGAGTGAATTCCAGGGCTGTACAGAGAAACTCTGTCGTGAGAAACCAAGAAAACAAACAAACAAATTTAAATGAAGAAGTCTTACAAAGTTCAGTTCAAACTTAATTTTACCAGAACTTTTAAAGAATGTTACTTTCTATAAAGGTAGAATGTATCTGGGTCCTCCTGTAGAAAATAATGGAGTCCTAGATGCTCCAGATAAAATATTTTTTGGATAACCATAATTTGTAACTTTTTCCAGATATATCATAATGGTCATATACCAGATATTTCTATTTCTTTTTCTTGGCTATTTCTTTCCCACCACGTTCATTGCCTATTTTCAATGTGGGAATAATAAAACATGAAACAGTATGTCTCCTTAACTCTTATTTTTCTGGCTGTGTTGTTTGATAATATTGTTTATTGTAGTAGGATAGTTGCTTACATAGAAATGTGGGTTGGTAAGACTCATGGGGAACTCTCTTCCTGTCCATTTTATTCATATTTACTTCAAGGGAATTTACATTACTGTCAGGTAGACAGACCTGAAAGAAAACTTGGATAACAGACCCAAATAGTTACCAATCAGTAAGAGCCTATGTGAATGGGTAACTTCATTTCTAGGTCTGAATTTGTATTCTCCTTCCACCCCCATGGTGGAAATAGTTCATTGCAGAAGTCATATGTGTTATATGAATATGCTTAGAAGTAGACTGAATACAGACAGTTGAAAGCACATTTTAAGTAATAAGGTAGAAAAAAGAAGATAGGTCTGATATTCCAGAAGTGAGTGAAATTTATAGTGTGATCCAGTCTAACTACACAAAGCCATTGCATACAGTTGATTAAATTATACCTTTCAAAGGGAACAAGTGATTAAATCTTTAATCTCTGTCTTTTTTTTTTTTAATGGTACTGAGAATGGAGCCTAAGGCCTCAGGCATGCCAGACAAGCAATCTACCACTGACCTGTATCCCCAGCCCTCTTTACTTTTTATACTGAGACAAAGCAGTCTAATTAAGTTGCTTATACTGGACTTTTTGTAGCTGAGTTTACAGTCTGTCTGAGCATTCTAAGGAGTTGGGATCACAGGCCTACACCACCAACTTCTTTAGCCCTAAAGCCAAGTTTTGTAAGTTGTCCTAGGCTTTGCTACATCTTAACTACCTTGGTTTGAATGAACATTTTTAGCCACTATTTTAGAGTCATATAAGACATTCACTCTTTTCTGCTTTTTATATAAATTCTACTTCTTAAAAAATTAACAAGAATTTTTGTCATTTTTACATTTTTTTTTATTTTTTAGGATACACAGACAAATAGGACATTAACTCTCATCTCAAAAACCATTCAGAGTTTGGGAAATTGGGGAAGTCTATCCAGAAGAAAGGTGAGTCTGTAACTTTTTTCCTTCTTTTCATATATAACAAATTTTGTTTTATCCAAAGATTCCTTCTTCATTCACCTCCTTCCATATTAAAAATAAAACTGAAGAGAATACATATTCAGATGCAATGATTGTCTTTCAGTGGATGCTCTACTATAGGCGCCTACTGAAGGAGACAGTGGTGTTAACCTGATACACCCAAGATAGGGGGAGCAGTTGGAGAGAAAAGACACAGGCACAGTTTAGTTATCTGCATGATAAGTCACTACACAGCTTTGAAAGAAGTCTTCAACTCCAAGATGAGTATAGTCCCATCATTTTCTTCATAAACTTCTCCACTGAGAAGTTTTTTACCCAAAACTTTTATGTAACCTTAGGTATATAGATATATAAAATAGATACAACAAATCAAACATTTACTGATAATAACTTGTTTTAGCATTTTGAAATGCCCAGCCCCCAGTGCTGAGGGGAGTTTTTTTCCTTTCTGCTATCCTGGGTTTTTCCCTAGTTTGAGATCCAGGAGGGAAAAGACCAATCAGTACTATCAGTTCAGGGCGGTGTCACAGGCTTTGAGGGTCCTTCACTGTTTCTCAGTCCCCTCTCATCAAGAATGTTCAACAGGGTTAGAGAGATGGCTCAGAGGCTAAGAGCACTGACTGTTCTTCCTAAATTCAATTCCCAGCAACCATATGGTAGCTCACAACCATCTGTAGTGATATCTGGTGCCCTCTTCTGGAATACAGGCACACATGGAGGAAGAACACTGTATAAATAATAAATAAATAAATAAATAAATAAATAAATAAATAAATATTAAAAAAAAAGAATGTTCAACAAAGAGGGCTAAGAGCCATGCTCTGGCTAATGAAGTAGCTGTGATCACCGACTCTACAAAAGAATAGGCTTTGGTTGTGCCTTTGGCCATCAGCAGCAGAAACCATGTAAGCCAAGCCTGGCCATGCTCAGGGAGAGGCTGAGCATGAAACATCATGTGCTGGCTGCCTGGTGTGTGAGATCTGTGGATCTCAGCTGTTTGGGAGCCAGAAGAATTTATAGAAATTGTCCTGCTGCTGTATCAGTGGGGAGAAAAGCCCTGCTCTGTGAGAAGAGTAGAGTTGAGGTCCTCTGGGAAAACAGGAGTTGGTAGGGAATGTAGAGGATGGAAGCCTTAAGAGTCAGTACTTCATCTTGCGCAGCTTGGTCCTGGAAACCTGGCTGACTGAGACACATGAAAGCTAGGATTAGGTGAGCTGTGCTGGCTCTGATGGTACATCTACTAACTAACCAGTAAACTAGGTGCCTTATGTACAACACAAAAGGGAGTGGCTAGCTAGTCTCAGTGGGAGGTCTCTGTAGGTAGCAGTCTCAGCCAGCAAACTTCCTGGAGGAAGAAGTTGTATTTGTAGTTTCTGGTTTTAGATAAAGGTCAGTCCCTCCTAAACACTAGTACTTGGATCAAAGGAAGGTTTTGCCATTTCCAGGAGTCTGAGGCAGCTAGGGTCCTTGACATGGCTGTGCTTTTGTCAATAATACACATTTGCTTAATGCTTCATCTGTTCCCCACATCGGAGTATTTTAAGTTCCAGGTTATACAGGGAAATTTGCTGAAGAAAGGTGTTCACAATTTCTCATTTATGATAAACATGTTTGGACACTTGTAATCTGGGCCTGTTCCTGTTTGGCTAGTGACATGGGAGCAGCCCTTGTGACCTGGAGTCCTCACCCTTACATCATTGTCTTCTCGTATTACTGACCCTGATCTCTAAGCGTTTTAACTTTCCCTACCTGCTTTCTTCCTTTCCCATGAAAGTCGAAATTGAAGAGCTGGACTTTAGTCAGTGGCAGAGCCCTTACCTCTTATACGTCAGACCCTAGATTCAGTCCCCTCCACTATCCTTTTTAAAACATAAAGAAACTAGAAATTGGTCTTCATAGTTTCCATCTGGCCGTCCGGATCTACAGCCTTCTTTGTTCTACCCTGTGCCTCAGGAAAGCCAAAGGCCTCTAGCTTCCAGGAAAGTTTAGTCACTGCAGGCGAGTCAAAGAAGAGTAAGGCCGGAGAATTGCTTCTCAATCTCCTTAGCCTGCTTACTTTGTGTGGGCTTTTCTGTCTCCTGAGAGTAGTCTTAGACCTGGGGGGGAGTTTCCATGACTGACTGATTAAACAGACTTTTAGACTGACCAAATGGCTGTCTAGCCTTAGCGTTGGGATTTCAGAGAGTAGTCACTCACTGGCTTTTGGGGTCCACTTTATAGAAAAGGGTTAGGGTTAATAGAAAACAGCTGTTGAGGTAATTGGCCGTTAGCACCTGGACAGAAGAGTGGGGGTGGGGGGACACCACATGGGACCTGACAACTCAGGGCTCAAGGCTGCCTGCGTGGTAGGTAAGAGGAAGAAGAGTCGTCATAGGATCATAGGTGTTCCAGAGTTCAGCAGGACAAAGGTGTAGGTATACATCATGAGATGACAACTGAGCACAGGTTGAAAACACTGTTTGCAGAATACATTAGGAAACAGAAACTCGCCCTTGTAAGGTAACTTAATAACAGTGTGCAACAGTGTGGCTCCTGTTTTGGTTTCACAGTATTTCTTGTGGGGGGACACCAGGTAGATTTCCATTTCTCACTTGTCCCTTTAGGCTTTTCAGTAATGATGGCTCTATACCTTATTGTGTGCTAATTAAACCCTGTCCACTCATTTGTAAGTACATTGGTAAATTCTGTATCAAAATTTGTCATACAGTAATTATACAAATTTATATAAGCAATGTGTTTTGATACATATTTACATTGTATATTAGTCAAAAATATTTAAACCATTCTTTATGGATATAAGCTTACCATTTGTTAACGACAAAATGCAAATTTGCATACTAATGAGATAAATATACTTGTTTATGTTTACATAAATACTAGTTAGAAATTTATGCAGTAGGATATAGAACATCTTAAGTGATTTTCAAAGTTGATTGTAATTTGATTTTATAATCATTCAGTTTTCATAAACACATAGTACAAATGGCAGAAGTATATTTAAGACCATTTAAATTTTTTTTTTTTTTTTTTTTTGGTAATTCTGTCTTAATCTCAAGCCAGAATTTATTTAATGTTTTGTTGTTGTTGTTGTTGTTGTTGTTGTTGTTTTTGGTTGGTTGGTTGGTTCAAGGATTTGTTTAGTGACACTTAAGTCATCAACTTAAGCAGTTAAAAATCAAACATTCTAACAAAATACAAAGCTACTGTTTTGATGCATGCCAACTAATGATGTGGGAAAATCACTAGTAAGGTGGGTTTTTTGTTGTTGTTGTTGTTGTTGTTTTTTTGTAATTAAGCCATTATGTTTTTGTTAGAGCAAAAGCTTTCATGTCTAGTAAAATTAGCTCAGTCCCTAACATACAGTAGCTCAGAATTTTCTGCTGAGGTCTTGAAGGCAGCAGTGAGCGTTGAGTGTGGGATGAGCAGAAGGAATGCTACATGATGTGGTACCATGCAGTATAGGTGACACTGCCAGAAACACCTCACAGTCATGATCGTGTTTGAACTAGTTCTTGTTGTTTTCAGAAACCTTCTACTATTAACAAATTTCTCATGACCCCATGTGGAGTCAGAACTAACATTTTAAGAAGCTGTGTGTATCTAACATATACAAATTCTGTGTTGTTGTTTTTTTTTCATAGCCACGTTTCAAAAAGTCAGTCATGTCTGAATTTCTCAAAATGTTTCAAGAAGAAAGATATTTTACAGATGTGAAAAAGGTATGGTTGTTTTCTTTTGGAAAAAAACTTCCTTGTCATCTAGTCTAAAGGAATTAACATTTCATATTCTTTCTAAGAGTCAGTTTCCAGTTCAAAAACAAAAATGTTTAAATTGTCAATCAAGAACTTGTTTTCTTCCAGTTCTCCATTCAAATAAAGCTGTGAGATAAGCAATTCTTGATAGTTAACTACTATTGCTGTTGTTGCCCTACCTATACAAATACAGACCTCTATACAGACCTGCAAACACTATTGACATTCGGGGCTGAGTAGTTCTTGATTTTAAGAGCTATCCTCTGATTGTAGAATATTTAGCAACATTCCTAAATTAAATGCCAGTAGTATATCCCCAGTTTTGAAGACCAGAAATGCTTTTAGCTATTTCTAGATATCCCCTGGAGGACAGAGCTATCTTTTGTTAAGAACCTTTGGTCTGTGACTAAAGCCTAGTTAACAGTGCTTATTGTATAGTAAAGTGAGTGCTCATTTGCCACAATAAAACAGCATGGCTCAGCAGGTAAAGGCACCTGTTTGGAAGCCTGATGACCTGATTTTGATCTCTGAGATCCACATGGTTGGAAGGAGGGAACCAATTCCCACAAGTTGTCCTCTAATTTCTATGTGCATACTGTGACACTTAGAGTCCCATACACATCCACACAAAATAATAAACATGTAAAACAGTGTTTTCAGTGTGTTATTGAGTGTTTATGGTAGGAATTGGAGAAAAATAACTAAAAATAAAAATTCACAAATGTCTACAGCATACAGCATGCTAACATAAGACCTGCAACATGTAAAAAGGAGTGTTATTAGAAGCTGATGGGGTTTTTTTTAAGATTTATTTATTATTTATACAGCATTCTGCCCGCATACCAGATCTCACTATCGATGGTTGTGAGCCACTGTGTGGTTGCTGGGAATTGAACTCAGGACCTTTGGAAGAGGAGCCAGTGCTCTTAACCTCTGAGCAATCCCTCCAGCCCCAAAGCCAAGGATTTTTTTAAGTCTTTCATTTCTTGGTCCTTGATTTATTGGTTGTTTATATAAAATATAGTATTATAAGCCTGAAAAACATGGAAAGAAAAGTTATTTTAGAATATATCTAAACTAAACTTAAATAAAGTACTGTGTCTTCATTATCACAATCCTAACTCGGTGAACAAGTTAGCAAGGCCAGTCTTTAAAACTGATTCAATTTTTCTATACATAATTTAGCAGGTGATGGGCAAGAACATATTTTACTGAAGTATGTATTTGGACATTTTAACATACTTTAACAGGGCTCCCTAAGTGAAAATGCTGGCGTCAGAGAGATTTTTTGTTTTGTTTTGTTTTGTTTTTTTGATATAGAGTCTTAGCATGTAGCCTTGGCTGTCCTAGAACTTACTATGTAGACCAGGCTGGCCTCAAACTCACAGATAGCCACCTGCTTCTGCCTCCTAAATGCTAGGATTAAAGATGTACACCACTATGCTGAGCCTGGATTTTTCTTTTTATCTAGAATAATACATATTAAACTAAAACTTTTTAAAGCAATTGTTGAAGGCTCTTGAGAAATTTTTAAGATATACTTTTATTTTGGGGACATTGTTGAGACATTTTGGGGGACGGTAGAGTTAGACTTAAGGTAAAAGGTTATGATATACTAGTTATTGTTTTGGAGTTATTTTTCTTTGTCTAGTAACCTAGGCTGTGGTAACATCTGCTCCCCTCCCTGCTATATAATCAGAATATATATAATTGATGATACCAGTAGGGAGAGTTTAAGAGTGCAAGAACTTTAGGTATGTTCCTAATCTGCTTCTGAGTCACCTGCTGACATTCAGATAGATTCTCACCATAGTACCTATCTGTAGTCCTGAGGTGCCTTAAGATAGTTTGCCCTAAAATCTTATATTTGTGTCTTTGTGTGTCCATGTGTCTTTCTGTCTGTCTGTAGATTGGACCCAGGGCCTTATGTATCCTGGACAGCTCTGCTTAAGATTCAGCTCTTATCTCCAGCACCTGTCATAAGACTAGATACACACAATGCTAGAAATTACCAGTGTTCACGTAACTCAGTTTCTCGTTCATACTGGTATTTGTACTAGTGACTTTAAATGTCTTGTAACTACGTCCCCCACACAATATAGGACAGGTAACCAGAAGAGTTCTGTAAATAGGGTAATTATATAATTTGGTGGCAGAACCACAGCACTGTGAAAAATTAAAAGATAATTATTGGCCTGAGTAGGGTGAACCTGAGCCAACTGGTTACTACAGTTACCTTACTGTCATCCTAACTGTTTTCTTGTATTTCACATCACACATTTATTTTTACCTTATACTTTTACCTTACTCATAATAATGCTAAAGAGAAATATATTCAGATAACTGTTAAGCTTCACTGGTGGATGGCCCATTTATTAGAACTAGAGATGAAACAGGACGCTTCATTAATGTCCTTGGATACTTGAACCTGCATCACCCACAGGACAAAAGGAATTCTGTTTTTGTTTACTTACCAAGATTCCTAGCTAGAGAGAGCACATTGGTAACTCTCCTGAGTGCATGCTCTGGTAGCTGAGTCACAGCATTCTTAGACCCAAGTAGCTCTGCCTTCAACTTAGAGGAAGCCCTAGACTCTGGATAGTCTAACGAAACTATCTGCTTTGTTTTGTTTACATTCTAAAGTCCTGAACAAAGTAAGTTAGAAACATAAAAGGGACATCTGTGTTTGTAATGTCTCACTAATAAGCAAATGGATAGTTGATTTAGGAGGCCAAAGAGGATTCTTTTGTAAGAACAAGAATTGGTGAATTTCCCTTTTCCATTGAGAGGCATCCACATGCTGGCAAGCCCTTGGTTGATCTAGGTTACATGTTCATGAAGCTAAATGCTTTTCACTGGTGACCACATGTTTCTAATAATGGGTGTTAGAAAATTCTTTTGAGTTACATTCTTATTTTCTGCATATGTAAAATCTTTGAAACCAGAATCTTCAGAATTCAAGTTTTCAGAATTTCAAAAGGTAATAGGAACAAACTATATTAAATAGCCCCTTTGGTAACACCCAAAGCACACATTAGTGTTTATTTGTCACAATGCAAAATACATTGTGTAAGATAAATTCAGACCATGATAGCATGTGCTAGTTGAAGGTTACTTACATGAGAAAATGAGTTTGCTGCAAAGCAAAGACAAGATTTTTAAATGTGCAAAATACATTCTTTGTATTTGAAGCCTTATGAATACCAAAAATATGAATAAGGACTAGATGTGGTAGTATATGCCTGTAATCTTAGAATTAAGGAAGCTGAGACAGGAAGATTGCAGCGAGTTTAAGTCCAGCCTTAGAAATAGTGAGGCATTGTCTCAAAAAAAAACTCCAGTTAAGGATTCTAGATTGAGCTATTTCTATAGGGAAATCCATTCAGAATTTGGTAAGTTGAGAATAAATGTTTTGGAATTTATTTTCATTTGTAAATTGATAACTTTCTATAGCCAAATGTATTTTATTTTATAGCTACTGTAGAATGAGCCTCTTTGATCCAAGATGCTCTAAAATCTAAAATATTGCCATATTTAAAACTTTCTGAGGGGACCTGATGTCACAATGGAAAATTCCACACTTTACCTTATGTGATAGGTTGCACAGTACAGGTTTAGTAAGAATACTGTATAAAGTTACCCTTAGGCTGTGTATATGAGTTCTGTTTATACATGAGCCCCGTCCCCAAGATACCTTGCAGTATATGCAAATATTTTAGAATCCTAGCACTTTGGTCCTGAGCATTTTGTATAAAAGAGATTATTATTTTGCAATTTATATAGTCATTATGTATATACATACATATGTATAGTCTTTAATAGTGAATTTCCTAATCAATGATGTGTAAATTAAAACAACTTTTTATGATACACCTTATTTACTCTTCTACTGTATACTTCCCCATCTCCCCATTTAGTTCTTAGATGAAATTTCATCTACAGAAAGTAAAGAGTCCAGTGGGACGAGTGAACCTGTGCACCTGAAAGAAGGGTAATTAATTACATGAGACATGAAAGTTACATTTCACTGTAGACAGTAAGTACAAAGAACATGGGTCCGGGAGTGAAGAAACCGGAGTTCTGATTCTGTTTCAGAGCTTCCTAGACTGCTTCAGTCAGGTAAATGACTCTCACTGCCCTGTCGGCTTATGTCTTAGGGCAGCGCTTTGAGACTGACTGCGCAGTCTCAGACTGTTCTGCAGTTAGGAGATAGCACTGCTCAGCCTTAAAGAAGAGCGGTTAGGACTAGGCGTTAATAGGATGGAAATAACTTACCCTTTTTATTCTGTATAGCAAATTTTAAAACAGCGTTACTTGGGGCCTGGAGAGCTGCCTCAGTGGTTTAGAGGGCTGCTCTTGTAGAGGGCCTGCATTCAGTTCCTGGAACCCACACTGTGGCTCACAGCTGATTGCCACAGGCTCTGCACACATGTGCATAGACATCAGGCAGGCTACAACCACAGTAAAACTAAAACAACCTACATGAATTAAAGGCCAAAGTAAGATACATGAGTTATCAGTGGAAATCACGGCCATATACTAATAATTGTACATGACTACCAATGTCATCTAACAGTAAGGGTCAGTTCTTTGTTTCGGGTAAGGGATTTTAATCTCTGGGCTTAAATGTCTAATTTATGTCTGTTATGTTGGCAGTGAGATGTATAAAAGAGCTCAAGGAAGAACTCGTATTGGAAAAAAGAATTTCAAGAAACGGTGGTTCTGCTTGACAAGCAGAGAGCTCACCTACCACAAACAGCAAGGTAGAGTTGTATTTGTGTTTTATTGTGGCTTTACTCTGCTAGTTCTTGCTGCCACCGTGGATCTTTGCACAGTGAATGGGTCAGAGTTTCTCACAATGACACAGAAAGCTAAACTGAAGTGTTCGTTTTATCACATGTAGTATATGATAAAACTATACCATGAAAGCCTAGCATAAATCGACCTGAGAACAAAACAACTGGACTTGGTAAGACAGTATAACAGTAAAAGCAGAAAGGTAGAGGCTTAACAGATAAATAACAACCACAAGCATTCAGCATAGCCTGGTGCTCATAGGGTTTTGAAGTCCCATCAGTCGATGAGTAAATAGATACCTTGCTAAGAGAGCTTCTTCTATAAATTCCGAAATGATGACATGAACACCTGACATAGGGTACTTTAAGAGAATGTGAAGTGCTTCACTGGACTTTCCTGACCAGTAGATGAGTCAGGAGAGGGATATTTTTAAGAGATGGGGTCTTGACCCACAACTCTGAGATTAAGCCGGCCTTTTGAATCAGCCTCCCAAATAGCAGGGACTACTACTGGCATGGACTACTGTATCAGCTAAGAGGGGTGTGTGTGTGTGTGTGTGTGTGTGTGTGTGTGTGTGTGTGTGTACATACATGTGTGTACACATGCATATATATATATATACACACACACACATATAGCTTAAACAGAATAAATGAATGAATATACACATATATATGTGCATATCCAATAGTTTGTAGTAAGAAATTGTTTACAGAGTGCAACAGAACCAGAAAATTTGAACACTGGGGTCTTCCCAGAGACTCATACTCCAACCAAGTACCAGGCATAGATATAACCTAGAACCCCTGCACAGATGTAGCCCATGGCAGGTCAGTGTCCAAGTGGGTTACATAGTAATGAGAAGAGGGACTGCCTCTAACATAATCTGATTGGCCTGCTCTTTGATCACCTCCCCCTGAGGGGGGAGCAGCCTTACCAGGCCACAGAAGAGGACAATGCAGCCATTTTTGATGAGAACTGATAGACTAAGATCAGAAGGAAGGAAAGGGGGACCTCTCCTATCAGTGGACTTGGGGAGGGGCATGCATGAAGAAGGGGGAGGGGTGGAACCGTGAGGGAGGAGGGAGGGGCTTATGGGGGGATACAAAGTGAATAAAGTGTAATTAATAAAATAAAATAAAAAGACATAAAAAAAGAAAGTTTACAATTTGTTGCGTTTTAAGCATCAGGTAGTTTGTTATAGTATATAAATATGTAACTAAAGATCAACAGGCTTGCCTTTCCAAGTGTTTTTAAAGCTGACGTTGAAAGTTTTAGAATTGAATTTTATATAAATATTCTCACTTATGGATACCATAATTGTTTATAGTGTTTATTTTAATATTACAATTAAGCCAGGCATGGTGGTGCACACCTTTATCCTAGCACTCGGGGTGGGGAAGCTGTGGGACAGAGGCAGACAGATCTTGATGAGTTCAAAACCAGCCCAGTCTATGTTGTGAGTTCTAGGACAGCCAGGTTACATAGGGAAAGACTGTCTCAAAAAAAAAGTCAATAATAACAATAATGCAATTAAATAAAATGTAAGCTAAATTAGTCATCTTCTGTAAATAAGCAAGTTATTTTTCCCTCAGTTAAAGTACTGTCTAACCCAAACCAGCATTCCAAAGTGTGCTCGTTTTAAAGCCCTTTAAGTCACATGATAGTTGTGCCTTTTTTCTGAGAATCCTACATATGTACACATACGTACAGCTGAAGTTGTCAGGGTTTGCCTTTGTTCTCCCCAGTGATATAAAAGGATAGACTTTCATAGAATTAGACTGTTGGAACCATAGGAATGGATATACTGGAGTGTGTTGTTTTTGTGTTGGAAGACATACACAAATGAGTTTGTGAGATTATTTGCCAAAGCCTACAGTTCTAAGCATATGTGCGTGTTGTTTTAACTATTTTGATGGATTTTTCCAAAATACGTTACATGCTTTCCTGCCTTCTAAAAAACAATTCATTAAACATAAGTTAACATTTTCTGATTGACTTGGGGTAATCCTCGATGGTGTTAATTATATATAGTGCCCTAGTTACTGTGTTTTCAGAGTGCCGAAGGGTGGGTACAGTTGTTTTCCCCGGCTACACATCTTAGACTGCCATGCTTTTTGTGATCATGTGTTTGCTTTGCTCAGTTTATCTCTCACCTCTTTCACTCAGGCTGTCTCCTTAAATTTTCTGTGCTGTCAGTGAAGCGTCTTACTCCCACCACTGTCTTCAGCCTTCATTTTTTACTACTAATGTACTGTGAATTAAGGTGTAGGTACTATATTTGCTAAAACTACACACAAGATCAAAGGCTTTGAATGAAGATGTAAGGACTTCTCATAAATAAAGTGCATGGCCTTCATATTTGCTACTTGCTCAGCAGTTTTGCTTATTTCTGTCTTCTGTCCATTTTCTTGGTAGCCTAAACTGGTGATTATTTTCTGTTACTACAGCTATAATGTTAAATTTATAAATTTTGATTTGAAAAAAAAATTTCGGTAACAGTTGTTGTTCATTGTCTTTCGTTTAATCTTGCTGATAGAGAAATGTATTCTTAATCAGTAATGGGGTATCTTTCCGATTTGTGTATATAGAGTTAATGTTTTTTCCTCAGATAGCTGTGATGCTCACTTAGGCGGTTGTTGAGAAGCAATAGTAAGCCACTGATAGTGAGTATAATTAATGTGGCAAATGAGTGTTCTCAGATATTTAGTGATTAGTCATTGGTACTTGACAGATTTCCATAGAGCTGAGTGCTGACTTTAAGTTACTATAATATCATTATTGACTCCTGTTGCATGATGGAGTCTAATGAGCTGCTGATCTTTCAGCGTCTTCATGTCTCATACAGCCTCATCTTGCATTCATCATATAGAACTCTACCAGACTAGCTCTTATAGTTTCTTTAATGTACAATTTTTATGTTCACTGTTCTGTATATACTCTACATAAAGATCTTCCCTTCTTCAGGTCTATGATTTGATGCCCTCCTATAAGCCTCAGGTCAAGTGTCAACTCCTCCTGGATATAATTTAAGCCCCTAGCCACTTAGCTACCTCCTTAACAGGAACATCTGCACACTGGTCATTATGTTTCATCTCTCTTTTCCTCTGCTCTTTAAGGTCCTCAGTGCTAACAACCATGTTACTAGCAGAAAAGCATTTAGTAAATGCTCTTTGACGAACATCAGGTCTTCCAAGTACTCTGTCACCTGAATTGCTTTAGTAACTGCTACTGGATTCTGAAGCTTTAACCAAGTTTACTAGTAAAACTGTTAGTAAACCCATGTTTGAAATACTTCTGTGAGATTTGCTTAGATGTTGTATGTTCTTGAGACCTGTCATATATAGGTACATGCAGACAGTTTATACAGCTTCCATAAAGCGCAGTTTATACAACTTCTCAGTGCATTTAGGCTGACTTGACTTTTCCCTCTTCATGTTTTCTGGCATGAAGCTCTCCAGGGTTTTGTTTGTTGTTTTTCTTTACTAGCTAAAGAACCAAATCATTGACTCAATTATGCAAATATTTTCAGCTAAACATATTTTACTGGTGCCTACTATGTGCCAGAGGTGCAGGACAGAAACAGTAGTGAAGAAGACATACTAAAGCCCAGGCTCTTACTCAACTTACAGGTTAGTACTGATAGATAAGCCAAAATTATTTTTAATTACAATAATCCAAAGCACAGAAAGTAGTGGCTTGTACCAGTTGGCAGCAATCGAAGTAGTAAAAACAGATCACTTTCTCAATATATTTTAAAGGTAGTACACAGAATTTGTTAGGGAATTCGAGATGAGGAGCTAGGAACAGACAAATAAAGGAACATTTCAAGGATTTGGGCAAAAGCAACTGAAGGGATGCAATTGCCTTTTTATAAACAAACATACATCAGTTGGGGGTATACCTCACTTGATAGATCAGTCACCTAATGTGCACAAAGCACTGCTGTCTTCCCCAGCAGGACATAAACTGGGTGTGGTGCCCCGCGGCTGTAATCCTAGCACCTGGGAGAGAGAGGCAGGAGAATCAGAAGTCTAAGGTAATCCTTGGCTAAGTACTGAGTTCAAAGCCAGCCTAGTCTATATGAGAGCTTATCTTTTAAATACATATACAGTGAGTTCTAGTAATAATAGAGAACTTGGTACTAACCTAACACCCTCAAAAATAATAATTAGAAACTTTGCCCGAAGTATATTATACAAGTCTGGAGCATAGTCAAGAGAAAAAACACAATGGAAGTGTGCCCTAGATAATCTGCATGTTAGAAATAGACAACCTTTAAAGCTATATGACCCTTGAAAGAAAATTGTTCTGGCTAAGATTTCTATTTTCATGATCACCTACAAAAACACTGTAGTGTAAGACAGCCAAATTCATGCAAAAACATACAGTTGTTTGGCTTCAGGAGTCAAAGAATCAAATGTCAAGGCATCCAGGAAGACTGGAAATAGAAAAAAAAACAAGAGAAGGGATACTTCAGATTCCTTGTGAACTGCCCTGAACCCCTAAACTGATTTTAGATGCTTAGGCAAGGAATAAAATTAGAGAGGCTACTGAAAAGCATTTGTAACCCACTGATAGGGAGTACAATTAATGTGGCAAATTATATTTAGTCATCAGTCATTGGTACCTTTACAGATTTTCATAGAGCTGAGTGCGGACTTTAAATTACTATAATATCATTATTGCCTCCTGCTACATGATGGAGTCTAATGAGCTGCTGATGTTTCAGCTTCTTCGTGTCTCATACAGTGTCCTCTTGAATTCATTATGTAGAACTCTGCCAGACTATCTCTTAGAGTTCCTACACAGAGAAACTCTCTCAAAGCACCCCCCCCCCAAAAAAAAAAAAAGATTTACAGCATTGATCTGTGGCTTTGTAGAATATCGTGTATTTGGCAAGGGTGTCGTAACAGAAGGGGATGGAGGAAATTATCTTGTATCTTAGGAATGAGCACAATAATTT